CATGACAAAATTTAGCAATTCTACCTACTTGCCAACAATTTGGCAATGCCAAATTTTAGTAAGGTTGATTTTGGCAGTAATTTGAACAGTACGGCATGTTTTACTTGCTTCCACTTTCAATCATACCAGTTTTTATTTGAGGCAATAATGTTCATAACCATACTTTCATATGGAGGAATTGTGTTAGCTAAGAATAATTTGGCAAGGAGAAATTGGAATGATAGTTTGAGAGGTTGTTTATGTATGAAAAATGAGACTATTCAGCATCTAATTATGGAATGTCATTATGCATAGTTTATTTGGAGAGCAATTCAGTTTTCTTTTGGTCTATATCTTCCTAATAGCATATCTCATATTTTCTTTAAAAATATATCATATCTCATACTCCCTCCGTCCCAAAATAAGTGCAGTTTTGCACTATTCACGTTCAACGTTTGACCGTTCGTCTTATTTGAAAATTTTTTATGATTAGTATTTTTATTGCTATTAGATGATAAAATATGAATAGTACTTTTATGTGTAACTAAATATTTTCAAATTTTTCATAAATTTTTTAAATAAGACGGACGGTCAAACGTTGGGCACGGATATCCACGGCTGCACTTATTTTGGGACAGATGTAGTATTTTTTATGATTGGCTTTTGGGGGTGGACAAGAAAAGTATAAAACTTAGAGCATATGTTATATGTTGTGCTTTATGGGTGAATAGGAATGTCATGACTTTTGACAATTGGCTCAGGTCCTGGGCACAACATAAAAGTGTGATAAAGATGGCGAACTTTTAAAAGTTGCATGTCGTAATCTTGAAACAAATGGTTATACAATTTGTTGTCAATTTTAGATGGAGATTCACAAATATAAATCAATAATTGTGTACTCCTTGTTTTAGGTTGGTAGTTTTTGGATTGTTTCTTCTTCATGATTGGTATCTTCTTTTATTTATTTGAACTACACTTGTTTTGAATGTTACGTTGTAATAATTGGCTGTAACTCGTTGAGCAAATGTCGTGATGTTTTATTCTATTATCTAAAACATACAATTGTGATTTTGTTTTTCTAGGATTTATGATTTTGCTCTTACGTCTTTTAAATGAAACACCGGTTTGCTCCTACTATGTTAAGATGACTTAAAAGTGTCAACTCCGTTATAAAACTACACGTACATCCTTTAACACTTACCCATACTTTTATAATAAAAATTGTATATTTCGTTAAATGTAACCAAACTCCGACCGATTTTTGACAGGTTTTCACAAACCTGCAAAGGGTGAAAAAATCTTCCAAAAATATTCATCACATTCACCATAAGCCGCTGCCGTCGGAGCTTCCTTCACCGCCTGCTCGCTCCCGGCCGGCTCGGTCGAATGCTTCTTTCCGTGCTAGGCTGCTTCGCGCAACCGCGGCCGGCACACCGGCCGTCACCTATGCTCGGTGTGCCGGCCCGTCTAGAGAAGCCCCGGGTATCTACTGCTAGCTGCAGCGCCGCTTGCTGCTCACCCACGCACCGTAGGTGTATGCTGATGCAAAGTATATGTAATATCGTAAGGGTTATACATTGTACGAATATCTAATCGAAAAGAGTTAGAACATTGCAACTGAACTGAACAGCTAGCTGCAACGGGGGAGGAGGTGGTCGATGTGGATGTGTGGTGGAAGTGGAGGCAGAGGAGGCGACCGGAATGGGGAAGAGGCAGGGAGGTGGCGATGGAAGCGAGGAGGTCGACAGGCAGCGGTGGATGTGTTCTGGCTGCTGGGAGTAGATGGGTTCTGCGTTTTTTTATACCTGCTTAGTGATTCTTGTATATATATTCTACCATGAACGTGGGCTTCTCCTTTTTCGTGACCTTTTGGGCATGTTTGAGGGAGACTGAGATTCTGAGAAGCAGCTGGTTGATAGCCAACTTCTGAGAATCTGGAAAAATTGGGTTTTCTAGCTTCTAGCTTCTAGTATAATTTTTGGATTCGACAATTACAACTTCTCAACATCTGGACCAAAAACTGTACTATTTGAGATAGCTTCTGATTCTGAGAGAAGCTGCTGCAGCTGAAAGCTCCCCCAAACAGACCCTTTGTCTGCTGCGTGGAACATGGACCGTTGGCTATGTGAAAACTCCCAAGGATTCTACCATTGACCATGATTTTTCACTCATGTTTATTTTAGATACAATGGCATCGGTTTAATTCCCTGCTGCATCCAACGGTCCTAAATTTCTGATGACGTGGCGCTTTGTGGTAGCGAAACTTTAGATGTGATAGTCCCATGGTGAAAAGAGAGTGGTGTGATAAATCATGGTAACATCTGTTGACTTTGTGTGAAACCGATCGAGCTTGAAATTTTCATTTCCCAATATTCTTTTATTATGGTTAAAAATGGAGCATAGCTCGGTCGACAGAGAGATACAAAATAGTTTGCGTTGGCCTAGGTTCAATTATTAAATTGACATGTAATCGCCTTCTAATAATATTCCAGGTTAAATTGTTTCTTTTAACATTCCACATTTTTGCTTGACTACATTAGTTTAGGGTAAATTTTGTTGCAGGACATCGCGACTTCGTGGTTTTAGCTCTAAGACACCGCACAAAGTCGCTTTTGGGGAAAACACTTTTTGCCAGCGGACACCGCACCCATTTATTTAGTATATTTGCACTGACTAGGATTGAGCGGACCCACATTTTGACGCGTCTGGACCAAAATGCCCCAATGGTCGACTCAATCCATCCTTGCTTTTAGGCGATGCACCGCGGGTGGCGCAGCTCGACCGGGGCGGGCAAGGAGGTCGTGCTCCTCATCCAGGCCACACCCGCGCGTGGGGGAGACGGGAAGGGGCCGACAGCGACGGAGTGCGCACTGGCTGCGGCGGACCTCACCACAGGTGAGTGGCGGCGCGTGGAGGTCTCGTGGGAGGGGGAGGGGGAGGAGGAGGAGGCGCGGGGCGGGGGCATGCCGTTCTTCGCTCGGTGCGCGGCTGCCTAGGACGGACGACACGTCGTCGTCGTCGGGGCTGTGTGCCGGCCGCGCCATGCCTGACCAGCGACGTCTGCGTGCTGGACGTCCACGTAGAAGTGTGGTGGCGCGACGAGTGAGGAAGCGCCATGATGCCGCCGGGCAGCCGCGTGGGGTTAGGGAGCGGGGCAAAGAAGAGCTGGGCGTGGGGGCGGCGGTTGTCTACGGTCGCCGCGAGACGCATCGGCCGCTATTCCACCTTCCCGCCGCCCTCTGCCGCGTCGCCGGCCGCCCGTATCGAGTGCCGCCCTACGCCGCATGGTCACCGCGAGCCGCGCCGGCCGCTACTCCACCTTCCCGCTGCCCTCTGCCGCGTCGCCGGCAGCGGGGCAGAGAAGAGCTGGGCGTAGGGGCGGCGGTCGTCTACGGTCACCGCGAGCCGCGTCAACCGCTACTGTACCTTCCCGCCGCCCTCTGCCGCGTCGCCGGCCGCCTGTATCGCGCGCCGCCCTGCGCCGCACGGTCACCGCGAGCCGCGCCGTCGAGGGAGAGAGAGAGGACGTCGCCAGCCGCCTGCATCGCGTCGCACGGTCACCGCGAGCCGCGCCGGCTGCTACTCCACCTTCCCGCTGCCCTCTGCCGCGTCGCCGGCCGCCCGTATCGCGCGCGGTGCTACGCCACACAATCACCGCGAGCCGCGCCATCAAGGAAGAGAGAGAGAGAGGAGGGGGAGAGAGAGGAAGAAGATAGAGAGAGAGAGAGAAAGGGCAATTTGTTCAAGGCATGTAAAAAAGTGGGGCCCTCTCATCTAGTCAGCACGGAAATTATTAATTTAATGGGTGTAGTGTCCACCAGCAAATAACCACATTTTGAGAGTGTGTTTCCCCAAAAGTCATTTCGCGCGGTGTCCTACAGCTAAAACCGCAAAGTCACGATGTCCTGTAGCAAAATTTGCCTTAGTTTAGCTATCAGCATGCCCAAACGGGATATAGGCCGTGTTTAGTTTCCCTTATTCCTAACTTTCCATCACATCATATCACATTAAAAACTTTCCTACACATATAGTGGCGGCGCCAGGATTTCAAAGTTGGATATTCTTGTCTAAGCGCTGTGCCGTTGCCCGTCCCTGCCCCTCGCAGCCGCCGGCCACCCAACCGACCTGACCGCCTTAGCTTGGCGAAGTGTCGGGCACCGCCCGCCGTGGCAATGGCCTCCCCCTCCGTGGTAGCACGGTCCAGCTCCCGCCGCCGATTGCCGTCTCGCCGCGCCACCACCTAGGGTTTGCAAATGGGGAGTGGCGCGAGGGAGCCGAGCCAGGGAGGGATGGGTCATGGAGGGAGAGCGAGAGGGGGCTGTCTGGAAGAGTGGTGGCTAAGTGGGTCAACTGATGTCTGATGGGTCATGACGGAGTGGGTCGGGTTGGTTGGAAGCATCGCAAGAGACTAGTTGGGCTGTGTTTGGATCAAAGAGTTGAGGATTTAGGTGTACAAATATGTGTACATGTGTATATACTATAAGTATATTTATTTTTTGATAAAAAATGTTGGGTATTCCCGGGAATACCCAAGAATCATGGTGGCTCCGCCACTGTACACATATAAACTTTCAACTATTTTTTCAAACTCCCAACTTTCTTCAAACTTTCAACTTTTTTCAGGAACTAAACACACCCATAAAAGAGACTCGGACGGCAGCAAGCCTTGGGCACAGCTGTAAATTGATTCAAAACATTGACAGCCAAAAACCCCTTAAAAATCACGCACAGCAGATGGAAAACCGATTAAAAATTTCCATATCCAAGACTACAATTAAACGATTCCATTTCTTTTCGCTGGGATGAACTGGGAAATACGAGGCCCAAAGATACCATTCCGGATAACACGGACCGTATATTATACGGTACAATACACACTGCGTACGTATAAAAAAAAATTTAGTAAGAAATACGATCGCCACACGCCCACCTGGGCCTCCTTAAATCTCGTCCCTTCACTTACGTTCGGGAGGGCATCCTCGGAAGCCCTCACCCTCCCAAAACTCCCACGCACACCACCAATGGCCGCCGCCGCCGCCGCCGCCACCGCCACCGCCTCCTCCGGCCTCATCCGCTGCGCCACGGGAGGCGCGCCGGCGCACGGCCACCACCAGGTGTTCAGGTGCTCCGCCGCCAAGCCGTCCCCTCTCGCGCTGCGCCACCGCGCGGGCCGCCCCGCGCCGCTGCAGGCCTTCCCCGAATACGACCGCGTCACGCCTTTCGACTATGACGGTGAGGTGGACGGCGGCGACGGCGACGACCACCCGCGCGAGGAGTGCGGCGTGTTCGGCGTCGTCGGGGACCCGGACGCCACGTCGCTCTGCTACCTCGGCCTGCAGAAGCTGCAGCACCGCGGGGAGGAGGGGGCTGGCATCGCCGCCGCGGGGGACGACGGCACGATCAAGCTGGAGAGGGGGCTGGGGCTCGTCGGGGACGTGTTCGGCGACCCGGCCCGCCTCGGCAAGCTCCCCGGCCAGGCCGCCATCGGCCACGTGAGGTACTCCACCGCCGGCGCCGCCGCCTCCCTGCGCAACGTGCAGCCGTTCCTCGCCGGGTACAGGTTCGGGCAGCTCGCCGTGGCGCACAACGGCAACCTGGTGAACTACCAGGCGCTGCGGAACAAGCTGGAGGCGCAGGGCTCCATCTTTAGCACGTCGTCGGACACGGAGGTGATCCTGCACCTCATCGCCACCTCGCTCTCGCGCCCTCTGCTCGCGCGCATCTGCGACGCCTGCGAGCGCCTCGCCGGGGCCTACTCGCTGCTGTTCCTGACGGCGGACAAGCTCCTGGCCGTGCGCGACCCGTTCGGCTTCAGGCCCCTGGTGATGGGCCGCCGCGCCAACGGCGCCATCGTGTTCGCGTCGGAGACCTGCGCGCTCGACCTCATCGACGCCACGTACGAGCGCGAGGTGGAGCCAGGGGAGGTCGTCGTCGTCGACCGCCGCGACATGTCGGTGTCCTCCGCCTGCCTCGTCCCGCACCGCCCCCGCAAGTCGTGCGTCTTCGAGCACATCTACTTCGCGCTCCCAAACTCCGTGGTGTTCGGCCACGCCGTCCACGAGCGCCGCAACGCCTACGGCCGCGCGCTCGCCGAGGAGTCCCCCGCCCCCACCGCCGACGTCGTCATCCCCGTTCCGGACTCGGGGTTCTACGCCGCGCTGGGATTCTCGCAGACGTCGGGGCTCGAGTTCCAGCAAGGCCTCATCCGGTGGCACTACAGCGGCCGCAGCTTCATCCAGCCGTCGCAGGCGATCCGCGACCTCGCCGTCAAGCTCAAGCTCGCGCCCGTGCACGGCGTCATCAGGGGCAAGAGCGTGGTGGTGGTCGACGACTCGCTCGTCCGCGGCACCACCTCGAGCAAGATCGTGCGCCTGCTCCGCGACGCCGGCGCGCGCGAGGTGCACATGCGGATCGCCAGCCCGCCGGTCATCGGCTCCTGCCTCTACGGCATCGACACGCCCAGCGAGGGCGAGCTGATATCAAACAGGATGGACCTCGAGGGAGTCCGCAGGGCGATCGGCTGCGACTCCCTCGCGTTCCTCTCGCTCGACAAGCTCCACACCATCTATGGCGACGAGGCGCATGAGCTCTGCGACGCCTGCTTCTCGCGGAATTACCCGGTGCTCCCCACCGTGCCGGAGCCGGTGCCGGAGTTGGTGTCCGCCTTCGAAGACTGACATGAACTCGCAACTAGGGGAAGTGGCTCTACTATACTCTGCAATCTGCATATGCTTATATAGAAATTTTAGACTCAATTTTGGGGCTTGGTGGCAATATTTGTCCTTGCAATTGCATTCATCAATCTGAATTTTGGGAGTAAGGTTTAGCTATTGGATATTGATCGAGCTGATACGGTTAAGTTTGATCTGTCTATTCATCTATTGTATTGCCAATGCCATCATGGTGATGATGATGAACGAGATAATTGCTTCAATGACACATGGTGAAAAAGTTGCCTTTTTGGTATGTATACCACCTTCTTATTTTGATTGGAAGGCTGTCCTTGTCTCATCTTTTGTGTATCTTCCCATCCATGGTTGTTTGCCTTTTGAGCTAACAATAGAATTGTTGTGAGTACCATGTCTATGTGCAAATCACTCTACTGTCATAGTATTAAGTTTGTTGCGGTATTTCGTTAGTACCTTTGCACTGTTGGGACTTGGGAGTCGACACGTTTCAGACCTAGTGATACATCCTATTGGAGTCAGAAATCTGTGAAAAGGTTTCCCGCTTTCACTATGGAAATTGTTTTCCAAGAGGTCAAATTTCGCACTCTCAGGCATGCATTTCCTTGCTATTTGAGACATCCAATAGAATTTTTGTGCAAGTTTAACGGAGCATTTTCTATGGAGCTCCTATAGCAAATGAGCCACTATATTTCAAGCCCACTCTAATTCAAGTTTTCAACAATATTTTCTATAGTTACTCAACTTGTATGGGAAAAGAAAATTGATGTGGGACTTCAATCTTACGTTGTAGTGAGATGTCAACCTGAATTATTAGTGAAATGCAAATTTCAAGCTCCTGTCGCATAAGGGAAATGCATTTACCTATATTATTTTCACAATATTGTCTTATTCAAAGTCAACTAAGAAAAGTTTACTGTTTGCTAGTTTAACAGTAGTGTGGACCTTTGCACATTTCAGTCAAACTATGTATACTTCATTGAAATTAGTCTTCCGACATTATCTTTGCTGGGATATTGACTTGTCTCCAGGAACAAAAATACTTAGTACTTTAGTAGAAGAAATCCAAAGCATCATGATGTTGATACTTATCCTTATTTATATTTTAAATCTTGACTAAAACTAAAATTATTAAATTATCTAATAAGATTTTCTCATGTGATTCTTCGGCTCCGCTGTACTTGTGTTTGAACGAAAACTCACCTATCAGTGTTCAGCTTTCACATGTTCAAAATCATGGTGTTCACCTGTTTTCGCCTCGCTGGTTATCTTTTACTACATTTTTCACTGCCGTTGGGGCCATGGTATAAGGTCAATTGTTTCTCTGAATCAGTTTTTTTTTTTGAAATTTATTTCTCTGAATGCTGAGTTAATTCATGAGATATCTTTATTTCTCTGAATGCTGAGTTAAGACATGAGATATCTATGGTCAGCTCCATGTTGTACTACTCTGATAGTCTGATAAGGGCATTGACAGGGTGAGCTCAGCTGCTGAATGCAAACGGATAGACTGGCATTTCCGTTTTGATGGAGCGTTTATATATGAGGAGGTTAAGTATCTTTCTAGGTGACTGGAGATGAAGGGCTTATTTGTTATTATAGAGTCAATTTTTGCTTAACCAATATTTTGATAGTGCCAAAGCCATGACAAGTGTGAAACCAGCGTGAAGAAAAAAATGTTAACAAACCATACCTCCGTATGACACTATTTAAGTTGCTAGAAATTAGATAGAACAAAAAAAATTGACATCACTCCAAACAAGCTTGAAGTACCTTTTGTCAGTGATTCTCTCGACGTTTTCTTCATGTGTTAACAATTGGCCAGCTTCAATCTGCAGATTTAGCAAGTACATTGCTCCTTGTCCGTGCTGTAAACTTGAGAGGTTATTTTTCTTCTGCTTTTGCTCATGTTTATTGGTGGAATGGACGGTACTCTCTCTCTCTCTCTCTCAGCCTCATATGAGCCGTGTCTGCCTTTTGCCCTGGATCTTGTTGGTCATGCCGTGAGTTTGTAGCGATATCAGTGGTCAGTCTCAACTTCAAAGTGCAGTGAGCCTTTGATGTCTTTCAGCAGGATGGTTCCCCCTTCTCGGGCCTGCATTTGCTGCAAATGAGCTAGTTTTGCCCACAAACTGCCTATTTTGCAGGTAGGCTAATTTGTCTGAACAGTTGATGTCTAATAAAGCTTCATCGTTAAGAGAGAGTTCGACCAGAGATTTCAGCAGTCCTGGTTTCCACGATATACTGTTAATAGGTTATAGAAACTATTTTCTACTAAAATTCAGATAAAATTCATGTGATACATTCCAAACGTGCAAACAAGATGTCTAAGAGTTTCCTTGCTTTTAGTTAAGTCGTGATTTTGTGACTTTGTAACTCGTACTCCCTCCGTCTCAACGAATTTGGACAAAGGCTTAGTACAGGTTCATTGTACTAGAAGGGGATGTAACCCCCTCCGTCTTAACGAATCTGGACAAAGGCTTTGTACAGGTTCATTGTACTAGGAGGGGAGGGGTCACATCCCCTCCTAAGAGCAAGGCTAATACTTTAGCCGGCTGCTGGCTGAATACTACTACCATGTCATCTATAGCCATCACTAGCCACACTAGTCCAGTGACTATCGCTTCCTGAATAGGGCACTTCTAGATGTATATATGTTTGAGATATATGATTCTGATTTTTGTGTATACATGTCTGAGCAGGGGAGTGGATTCTCACGCACCTGGTGGTTTACTTAAATTTTTGAGGAAAACCACACCAAGAACTGAACAACATGTGTGCAATGGGAGTTCATCGCAGCCAATCAACGTTGGCGACGACTGCAATGTTGGCGATTGCGTTAGGACTGAAAAACGCTTGCCATGGACAAAAGAGGAGGATCTTAGATTGGTAAGTTATTTTTTGGGGGGTTAATTATGATGTCCATGTGTTATATTAATAGAACTGCAATAAACATCTTTTGATAAATATTTTAGGTCAGTGCTTGGTTGAATAATTCAAATGATCCAATCCAATCAAATTACAAGAAGAATGACCAATATTGGAATGGTGTTGCTGCCGTCTACAACAACACCACCCCAAAAAACAGGGCTAGGCAGGTCAAGCAAGTCAAGGATCGGTTTGGAAGAATTAAAAAAAGGGTTGCATGGTTTTGTGCTAGCTGGAAGGAGGCTAATGCTTTGTGGGCTAGTGGTGAATCTGAAGTGAATTTGATGGACAGGACAGTGAAAAGTTATGAAGAAGATCACAAAAAGGATGGTCCATTTATGTTTAAGCATTGTTGGGATGTGCTTAGCAAGGAACCAAAATGGGACGCCTATTTGGAACGTTTAGAAGGTTTGGAGCCAGACAAGAGAAAGTTCAATGTTGAGGAGGGTGTGGGGCATCATTTCTCTCTAGATGATGCTAGAGATGAACGACCAATAGGGGGCAAGCAAGCTAAGGAGCAGCAGAAACGAAAAAGAAAGGACCAGGCTATTATAGATCTTGAAGAGGAATTCCACAAGCTTGTAGATGCTCAGAATACAGCAAATGAGGGCCACAAAGAGATGCTAGAGACACAGAGGCGTGTGTCTAGTGAGAATGTTGAAGCTCGAAAGCTTAAGTACCTTGCAGAAAAGGAACACAAGGAATCAACCATACTAGAAACATACAAATCGTTGATGATGCAAGATACAACTGGGATGCCTGAAGATGTGAGATCTGAGCGCATGCTGGCATTGAGGTGTTTCAGGGAGAAGTTATTTGGCAAAACTGACTAAGGTATTATCTTGCTAAAACTTTACATTCTTGTTTACTATAATATAGTTATTTTCTTAACTTTATCATGCTGAAACTTTGCATTGTCCTCTACTATAATATAGTCACTTTCTGAACTTTATCCTGCTAAAACTTATTTATTTATGCAAGTTATAGTTATTATGCATTGTTATCTGGTGAAATACTTATGGTGCTATAAGTTATAGTTACTATGCATTGTTATCTGGTGAAATACTTATGGTGCTGCATTAAATTGTTCCTTGCTGAAATTTCTGGCAGAATACAAGTTCAACATGTTCTCTATTGCATTAATCTAGTCAACAGCATGCAGTGCAAAAAATCATGCAGTCAATAGTCCAATTCACTTAACAACAATGCATTTCAGATAACCATGCAGCAATAAATATACACACCTACATATAACCAGAACAAGATACATCTATAAAATGCTTTATCCTACCTTCATATTCATCCACCCACACCCATATTCCTTCTCTTGCATATCATCTTCCTACTCAGCCTACCAATCCCATCTTTCTCTCCCACTATGCCGGATTCATCTTCATATTCAGATGATTCCGATGAACTAGCCCCATCAAACATTATGGAGCAATATGTTGCTGAGCGGGGGGTTCTAGACTCCTTTGCTAGGAGGCTCACTATAAAGATCAAGGCTAGTCTCTCAGTTGGGGTATCTTGGAGACGGAGTGGTCCAAGGAAGTGCATTTAGAGGGATCATGCTGCTGCTCATCAGCGTCTTGTGGAGGACTACTTCGCTGCAGAACCACTCTACACTAAGAGTATGTTTCGTACAAGATTCCGTATGAATAGACGCCTCTTCCTACGCATTGTGAATGCCCTTGGTCAGTGTTCTCCCTATTTCACTTATAGGGTAGATTGTACTGGTCGAATAGGGCTTTCACCACTGCAAAAGTGTACAGCAGCCATGCGCATGCTGGCATATGGCACTCCTGCAGATGCCCTTGATGAGTACTTGAAGATTGGGAAGTGTACTTCATTAGAGTGCTTGGATAGGTTTACACGGGGGGTGATTGAGGTGTTCGGTGGGGAGTACTTGCGACGCCCCACATCCTCGGATGTTGAGCGTCTACTTCAGGTCAACGAGTCTCGTGGTTTTTCTGGAATGTTAGGAAGTATAGATTGCATGCACTGGCGTTGGGAGAAGTGTCCTTTAGCATGGAGGGGGCAATTCACCCGTGGTGATTATGGAGTACCAACAATAGTCCTAGAAGCTGTTGCTTCCCAGGACTTGCATATTTGGCATGCTTTCTTTGGAGTTGCTGGGTCAAACAATGACCTTAATGTGCTGAACCAGTCCCCATTGTTTTTTGATGCATTGAAAGGAGAAGCCCCGCAAGTTCAGTTTTCAGTCAATGGGAATGAGTATGGAACAGGTTATTACCTTGCTGATGGTATATATCCAGAATGGGCTGCCTTCATGAAGACCATACCTCTTCCCCAAACTGAGAAGCATAAGTTGTTTGCCAAGCACCAAGAAGGGGCAAGGAAAGATGTGGAGCGTGCTTTTGGGGTGTTGCAGTCCCGATTTACCATTGTCCGTCGGCCTGCACGATTGTGGAGGCGGAAGAGTGTTGGGAGGATCATGCTAGCTTGTGTGATTCTCCACAACATGATAGTCGAAGATGAGAGAGAGGAAGCTACCATTCATATTGACTTGAATGAGAATCCAGGGGCATCGTTTGCGCTGCCTCCTGAAGTGAATATAGGTGGTAATCTGTGTTTTGCTGATGTGATGCGCAAAAAAGCTACTGTCCGTTCTCGTCCACAACACACCCAACTTAAAAATGATTTGGTCGAGCACATTTGGCATAAGTTTGGAGATAACCATCATAATTAGTCATGGTAGGATACTGATATCTGTATGTTTCTATTCTTTTTTCCCTTTGACATTGTGGATTGACATGATAACATGTACTTCATTTCAGGATTGTGCTGTTGCTGGTTGTCGTGGGTGCTACTTACAAGTACGTACTAAACATGTATGCGTAGAGTGGTAACTAAAATAAGTGTGATAATGGCAGGTTATTCATAATATGCTTTTGTTTGCATTGGCTAAATATTTACCCATGCATTTGTTTCCTTTTTCCCATACAGTGAGTAGGTTATTCATAGTATGCTCTTGCTTCATAGTACATACCATTTGTTTGCATTGGCTAAATATTTATCATTGGCTTTATTTTCAATTTCCCATACAGTGAATGAAGGCTTTTGAGGCAAATGGTTTGGATGTTGCTTTCTACTGAAGTTTCAACTAAACTATGGCTTGTTGTTTCTTTCTACTGAAGTTCCAACTAAGGCTCTATGCCATTATCGTTGTTCAGCTCAATAACTAATGGTTTGTCTGCCAGAGAGCTTATTTAGCAGTACTTTTGGTTAATGTTTTCAGAAAGACTCATGTAATGTTTTAAGCGCCGGTGTCATGGTGCTCAAATCTCATCATATCATGCGTGCAATGTTGCTTGAAAATTATTTGCTATCTGATCATTGAGATGAATATTGTTGCCTGAAAAATATCTATGGTTATTGAGATGAACATTGTTGCTTGAAGTTATAATGTGATATGATCTTTGAAAATTATATGTTTCTGAGCAATATGTTTTTTTTTGCAATAATCAGCGTGATATGAATTTGAAGTACTAGTGCTGTTTTGTTGTTTTTTATGTGCATGCACGACCATATTTGCATATCCATATATTGATTGATGAAGAAACCACAGAGATGTAGCCACAGCAGATCAGGAACACAAGTAAATATTAAATACCCAAATCTGCACATAGGTAAACCAACAGCCAACCTAACCGCTAGTCTTTTATATGAGCCAGCTATAGTGATGGCTATAGATGACATGGTAGTAGTATTCAGCCAGCAGCCGGCTAAAGTATTAGCCTTGCTCTTAGGAGGGGATGTGACCCCTCCCCTCCTAGTACAATGAACCTGTACAAAGCCTTTGTCCAGATTCGTTAAGACGGAGGGGGTTACATCCCCTTCTAGTACAATGAACCTGTACTAAGCCTTTGTCCAAATTCGTTGAGACGGAGGGAGTACGAGTTACAAAGTCACAAAATCACGACTTAACTAAAAGCAAGGAAACTCTTAGACATCTTGTTTGCACGTTTGGAATGTATCACATGAATTTTATCTGAATTTTAGTAGAAAATAGTTTCTATAACCTATTAACAGTATATCGTGGAAACCAGGACTGCTGAAATCTCTGGTCGAACTCTCTCTTAACGATGAAGCTTTATTAGACATCAACTGTTCAGACAAATTAGCCTACCTGCAAAATAGGCAGTTTGTGGGCAAAACTAGCTCATTTGCAGCAAATGCAGGCCCGAGAAGGGGGAACCATCCTGCTGAAAGACATCAAAGGCTCACTGCACTTTGAAGTTGAGACTGACCACTGATATCGCTACAAACTCACGGCATGACCAACAAGATCCAGGGCAAAAGGCAGACACGGCTCATATGAGGCTGAGAGAGAGAGAGAGAGTACCGTCCATTCCACCAATAAACATGAGCAAAAGCAGAAGAAAAATAACCTCTCAAGTTTACAGCACGGACAAGGAGCAATGTACTTGCTAAATCTGCAGATTGAAGCTGGCCAATTGTTAACACATGAAGAAAACGTCGAGAGAATCACTGACAAAAGGTACTTCAAGCTTGTTTGGAGTGATGTCAATTTAATACATGGTCCGCTTGTCTCTCTTACAGAGTTTCTGGTTTTTTTTATCCAAGCCGGGTGTAAGTTTACAGCCTGCTTCTCCTCTCTTCTTTCCTACACCTCAGCATTTAGCCGACTTATAGCCTATTATTATACTCTAATACACGCGACACAATAAGTTGCATGATCCATTCCTCCTTGCTTTCAGTTTCAGACATTCGGCACGAGGAGCTACGAAGAGTGGCCGGGGAGGAGCAGAGGAGCACCATGATAACGGCGTGTGGCGATTGTCACTGCAAATCTCATCTCTCCATGCACCAGTGACCTTTTTGACCCCACAGAAGAGAATTTCTCGGGCACACAACAACACAAACTGACGACCCCATCGTTTGGCGTGCAATATATTTGCAAAGAAAAATAATTTGTGAATACAATTCTTTTATATATATATATATATATATATGTATGTATTCTTAAGGAGGCTGAAAAATAATTTTTAATGAAAAATTTTAAAATTAACTCCAAATTTAAGATTAAAAATTTAAATTTTAACTAATAAAAGCATAGATGAACTACTCGCTCGGGAGGGAGTCATCAGTCATCACTGCTGCTTTTTTTTTGCTGCAGTGTGGTGCACAGACCAAGGACCAATGCGGCCAGAGAAGAAAAAGAAAAAATGATGCGTGCCGTGCTGTTCCTGTTCCTCTCCTCATGCTTTCATGGGGCCCTTGCTATCCTATTCTACACATTGCTGACCATATGATTTTACTGGAGTAGTGCTTCTTTTTTTCGTTGCTGCTGCTTTGTGGATAAATTCATAGATGGAGAGCGTGTATTGTACGTTGAGATAAAGATGAGACACTCTCAAAACAAGTACAGGTCACTTTTGTGTTTTATTCAGAGAAAATTAATTAGATGTTACAGTGCAGTTTAGTACTCCAGTATTTATGCAAAGGTAGTCACTGGGAGATAGATCATTCTGAAAAACAGTGTTTATGAAACTGGAAAGAGATGTGGGTATTATTTTATTCAGTTAATTTATACAAGCAAAACGAATTATATAGTTCATGCTACTGTTGGTAGTGGTACTGAAATCAATAGCCAGTGCGCAAAAGATCGGATTTTTACAAGCGAAGAACAGCACAGCAAATTCAGAGCTAAAACGGATCGATGCTCAGTGCTGAAAAGATCGAATTTTCCCCAGCAATCTCGTGGCAAAAACCTCAGATTTTTATTCAATCATCACTGCAATAAGTTACTTTCTCTATCCTAAAATATATATAAAAAACTAAAATCTCATGGAACAAAATATAAAACCTTATTATCGGATAGAGATAATTTCATAGTAGTAGTAAATAAACTGTTGGAATGGATAAACCGGAGCTACGAGAAAGAAGAAAAAGGAGCTCCATTTCTCGGCCACTGCCTGTCTGCCTCCTCCCATCATTCGATCACTCCTCCTCCTCCCTCCTCTCTCCCTCCCTCCGCGACCCAACAAGGAAGACGACGAAGAGGAGGAGAGAGAAGAGGAGGAGGAGGAGGAAAAGCTCTCTCTCTCTCTCTCTCTCTCTCTCTAGATTCGATTCCTTTCGTCCGGCGCGGCCAACCCGAAAGGCTGCGGCCGTCGCAGTCCAATCGATTCCCCCCCTGCGCTGCGCTGCGCTTTCCCACCCCTCGAAGCCGAATCCGATGGTTCCTCCACCCGTTGACCGCCTCCGCCATCGGAGGCCGCGCCGCGCCCTCGAACCCCGCGCCGCCTGCTGCTGCCTCCGCCGCCTCCGCCTCCTATAGATACCGCCCCGGCTCACCGCGGCCCGGCCCTCCCGAATGGCGGTCGGCGGCGACGACGACATGGAGAGGGACTTCGCCGCCAGGCTCCGCCTCGCGCCCTCCCCCGCCTCCCCGAACGCCGCCGCCGGAGGTGGCGGTGGCGGGATCGCCTTCCGCGCGCCGCAGGAGCAGTTCACCGTCGGCGACTTCGAGCTTGGCAAGATCTACGGCGTCGGCTCCTACTCCAAGGTGTTTTGATTTGATTGATCGGTTCGCATGCGATGATGCCCCCTGATCATCCGCGTTCTCGTGGTTCTTGTGCCTGGTGGTGTCATTCATGGTGGAATTTGGCAGGTGGTGAGGGCCAAGAAGAAGGATACGGGGAATGTGTACGCGCTCAAGATCATGGACAAGAAGTTCATCACCAAGGAGAACAAGATCTCCTACGTCAAGATGGAGCGCATCGTGCTCGATCAGCTGGATCACCCGGGCGTCATCAGGCTCTTCTTCACCTTCCAGGACACCTACTCCCTCTGTTAGTGCCTTCCATTTGAGCTGAAACACTAACGGCTTCAAATATTAGCTCCAAAAGATTTTATCTCCAAATAAAAGTGTTGGCATTGGATGAACAAGACATTTCTTGCTGGTTTTTTCTGTGCAGATATGGCGCTTGAGTCGTGTGAAGGTGGGGAGCTGTTTGACCAAATTGTTCGGGTTGGTGTCGTGCTGCTCACAATGCCAACAATGCGGATAATTTATCTTGTATATTTGCTTCTTATGCATGGGGTTTTGCTTGCAGAAAGGTCGCCTGTCTGAGGATGAGGCCCGGTTTTATGCTGCTGAAATTGTTGATATTCTGGAGTATTTGCATAGTTTAGGCCTAATTCATCGGGATGTTAAGGTTCGCAAATCGTATTGGGGTTGCACATTGGCCTGCAGCAGTAATTATGGGTGGCTGTAACTCACACTGCTCTTGATCTTTCAGCCAGAAAATTTACTGCTTACTTCTGATGGGCACATCAAGATTGCCGATTTTGGTAGTGTGAAGCCTACAAAGGACACCCCGATCAAAGTCCTTCCAAATTCCACTAGTAAGATAACATGTATATCAATGATTTGTCTTAAACGTCGCAGTAGTTCGTAAAATTCTGATTATCCTAAATTTACTCTACAGACGAGAGGGCCTGTACATTTGTTGGGACAGCTGCATATGTACCACCTGAGGTCCTGAACTCTGCCCCACCAACCTTTGGGTGAGTGAATAACTTCGTCTGGAAAGACTAACGCTTTGATAACCTATCTTCATTGGGAGTTATTTCACTTTTCCTTTGTAACACTTGAATGCTTATTTTTTTCTCTTTCAATTGATCTCGTTTTTCCATTTTGTACGAGATGTTATCTTGGACTGTCAAAGTATGAGCACTGTACTTCCATTGACTAGACGCACCAAATATTCATACTGTAGCACTGTACCCTGCTTTAACCAAATGAACCTTCATACATGAAATGCCGAAGATTCATTAAGACTTGTCTTGTTAGGAAACAGAAGTGTATTAGAGTTGGCTGCCCTGGATGTGCTAAATGTCTCTCATGCTTTGACCGAATAGTAAAAAAATTATGTCTCATGCTATAACAAGAAATATGTTAAGTCCTAAAAGAAACTCAAAGACTTCAAAAAATGATATCAGTCGCAGAAGGAGTAGATGTGACAACTTGTGAACTGCATTTTCCTCCTGCTATCAGAACAATAGCTATGCTTTTAAAAAGTGAACTTTTCAGAAAAAATAATGCCTAAGGTAAATATGGTGCTCCATTTTTCAAGGTATGGTTACATCACCAATCAGTTTCTGAAAAGGGAGCTGGTTTAGCCCTAAGGACATTTATTGCTGAATTGTGGACTTCCAATCCTAATTTGCTGTCAGATGGGTGGTTAGCAAGCTTTAGAGTGCTGTGTTTTGTGTTGATACTGTATGAGTTATTATGATATCTTTATACATAATTTCTCTGATGAACCTTTATCTGTTCTTGACAGAAATGACTTATGGGCATTGGGGTGTACTCTATATCAATTGCTTTCTGGCTCTTCACCATTTAAAGATGCCAGTGAGTGGTTAATTTTCCAGAGAATTATAGCACGCGATCTCAAAATTCCTGAGTACTTCTCAGATGATGCAAGGGATCTCATTGACAAGCTGCTGGTATACATTGCATTCATTTATCCTTGTACAGCCTTTTCATCAGTAGTTCATTTGTTTTTCTAAAGATGTATAATGTTTATCTCACACAAGTCACCTTTGTACCATTTCATGAATTATTGTCACTCTTGCTTTCGCAATGGCAAATTCATAGTTGATTGTTTTTACTAGTTATTATGCATAATAATTTGTTTTGCTTCCTACGAAAATTGCATAGGTTATAATCTCAACTTGGACAACTGCAAGCGTGATTTTTTCAACTTGAGAACCGCAGTTAATCCTATGAGTTGGCTATTGTGTAGGATGTCGACCCAAGCAAACGTCCAGGTGCAGGACCTGATGGTTATGTGTCATTGAAGAAACATCCTTTTTTTAGAGGCATTGATTGGAAAAATATAAGGAGCACACGGGCACCGAAGCTTGCAATGGAGGCAAATGTAATTTCTTGTTACCTTTGTCCATTTTATCACTTCATACTTCCAGCTTCCATCCTTCTGACAGTCTCTCGACTCAGGCAAATGAGGATGAAGATAGTCAGGATTCAAGTTGGTTGTCACACATGGGAAGTGCTCCAGTCAACCAACATGTCAGTCCTGTTGGGAATGATGGTGCCTCATCATCTTCTGAAGTACGCTCCCATATATCTAGATTAGCTTCCATCGACTCCTTCGACTCTAGATGGTAAACACAGTTTATCACAACATTATATTATAACCTACAGGAGAGAAAAGAAAATTGAATAAAAGAGGGGAAATGACCGGCATCATGCTCAAATTTTTCCACAAGAGGTGATTCATGTTGGTGCATATTGCTTTTAACAATGTGACAGGCAGGACTTCCTGGAGCCTGGCGAATCTGTCGTTCTAATATCAAAACTGAAGAAGATAAACAAGCTAACGAACAAGAAGGTTCAGTTGATCCTCACCGACAAACCACAGCTGATCTGTGTAGATCCTGGAAAAATGGTGACTAAAGGGAACATCATGTGGTCTGATGACCCAAGTGAACTCAATGTGCAAGTATCAAACTCTTCGCATTTCAGGATATGCACGGTATTCTTCTTTGTTGTTACCATCCCTTGGTATTATCCTTGCTCCTATGATGATGACTAACGCAGTTCGTTTACAGCCAAAGAAGGTGTCATCGTTTGAGGATGCAAAACAGCGCGCCTGGCAATGGAAGAAGGCGATCGAAGACCTACAACGCTGCCAGAAGAACTGACCATGACCAACTCAAGACGTCAAAATGGTGATATTAAGCATTGTGTATACACCATAGCCATCCTTTTCGCCTGGAGGAACATGGGGGAGACTATTGTTCCTGGTCTCCTGCATCTGTGCCCGATTGCAACGAAGTCTCAACAGTTGGCACATCGATGGATGTTCCTACATTTTTTTGTTTTCTTTTCCGGCCCTGCTAAATTCTCTTATAGCAAACAATTTTGCTCGTTTGTTTTGTAATTTGGTGCAGCAGATAGCATCAGGAATTCAGGATGATTGAAAACGTTTGCACTTGAAACATTTAACACAGGAAACTACATGAGATTGCCAGTTTGTACTGTTGCATCGTCTGACAAGCTTAACGTTGGTCCTCAGTCCTCACAGTTCATTCATTAATATTCAGGCAGATGGTTAGCATTTGGCATCGCATTATAGTCAGGCCTCCTTTTCAATGGAAGGATTTTACATGAATTTTGAAGAATTCATGTGTTCCAAAGAGCCATTCTTTCCTAGAGTCGGGTCAGGTCATCAAGTGTTTGAAGTTTACCAAAAAAAAGAGAGTACCAAATCAACAAGAAACACTTTTTCCTTGTAACGAACATCTCATCATCATCATCAGCTGACAAGTTCACTAAGCCCACAAAGCAAAGCACTGGGCTTGGGCCTAACTAATACTCGGCCCAAAATTTTACTAATCTTAGCCTGCGACCGGCCCGAGCCAGCCCGCCCGACCACTATTCGTAGCCTCGTCGTAGTCAACACCTTGACGCGTCGGACAAATCAAATCGTCTCTGTACATATAAAAAAACAAAAAAAAAACAAAACTCTTTTTCACCCCCCAAAAATTACCCCAGTTTACCAGGGTCGAAACCGCAAAACCGCCTCTCTCTCTCTCTCTCTCTCTCCCTATCTTCGTCCTCGAACAAGATATTTTCAGACCGGAAAAGGCATATACCCCCCTCCCCTCCCCGCCCGCGTGGCCTACCCCCTTCGTTAGGGTTTCGCGCCCTCTTCCCTCTCTCCCTTCCCCTCGGCCGTCGGCCCGGCTCCTCGCGGCGGCGGCGGCGGCGGCTCGCTTTCTAGGGTTAGGGTTAGGGTTCCGGCGGCGGAGGAGGAGGAGATGGGTGTGCCGGCGTTCTACCGGTGGCTGGCGGAGAAGTACCCGATGGTGGTGGTGGACGTGGTGGAGGAGGAGGCGGTGGAGATCGAGGGCGTCAAGGTGCCCGTCGACACCTCCAAGCCCAACCCCAACGGCCTCGAGTTCGACAACCTCTACCTCGACATGAACGGGATCATTCACCCCTGCTTCCACCCCGAGGATAGGGTACGTCGATGTTTTTTTTTTGGGCGTTTCTGTTTGCGTAGCTCTGGGGTTTGTTTGGGTGTTCGTATGGTGTCCCTCCGCTGTACAGGTGATGGATTTGTGTATGCCTGATTGATGTACGACGGAGCTGTGGCAGAGGAGATAGTTTGGTGAAATGATTTTGTAGCTTCCTGTTTTGTAATTTACCTGAGCGTTAAACATAATTTTGCAAATAACCACAAACTGCTAAATTGCCACATGAGCCATCTTAGGATGAGGATGCTGCTGTAGTTTAATCTTCAAACTCTGCATCGCAAATTTGTTAATTTGCCTTTTTGAGTTATGTTTATTTTCATTCGGTGGACGCACCAGTTTAGACTGCATGATGCTACTCTGTCATTGCCCTGCATTTCTCTTCGAACAAATATTTTAATGTTTACTGATTGCTCAAGTGCTTTCTGATTTCTCTGCTGACCATGATTTCTTGCTATTGTGTTATCTTTTACAGCCCTCTCCGACAACATTCGCTGAGGTTTTCCAGTGCATGTTTGATTATATCGATAGGCTATTTGTCATGGTTCGCCCTCGGAAGCTTATGTATATGGCCATTGGTACGTATAACATCTGATGTGTAGGAATTCTCTTACTACCTTTTTCCTTCCTAAAGGATTAGGAGTGTTTAGTGTCATTGCTCTTTTACCTGTTGGTCATCATCATAGAACAGCTTGCCATACTGCCAACTAATGCCTTTGTTGAAGTTAGCTATATACTATGACGAGTCATTTACATGAGTTTTGAATCAGGCATAATCCTCACCCGTAAACTATTTATTTGGCAGCATAGTACCTGTGCTTGTAAACTTTTGCTGTCCAGGGTCCTGTTTTTTACCACATATGTTTTGTTCTTGTCGATGGTTTCTTGTTGATATTTTGTATTATCTTACAATGGTTTTACAGATGGTGTTGCTCCTCGTGCCAAGATGAACCAGCAACGCTCTAGACGATTCAGAGCTGCAAAAGATGCTGCTGATGCGGTCAGTATTCTAGTGAAATTATCTTCCTTTATGCAGTGTATGATAATATGTCGACATTTAAATTCCCATTCATCGACGGCTTCAAGGGGTAGAATTGCATTTATGGCTTATTATTTTTCTATCTCCAGGCCGCAGAAGAAGAGAGGTTGCGTGAAGAGTTTGAGAGGGAAGGCAGAAAACTTCCACCAAAACAGCAATCTCAAACATGTGATTCTAACGTTATTACTCCAGGAACAGAGTTTATGGCTGTTTTATCGATTGCTTTGCAGTACTACATCCATCTCAGGTTGAATTATGATCCTGGATGGAAACAAGTTAAAGTAAGCATGGTTTTAAGCCTATCAGTTTTGTTTTGGCATTACATTCTGTCAGTATGTTCCATATGTTAACTTCACAAACTCTAAGGTTTACATTGATTGGAAAGGCAAGTATGAAAAAGTCATGTGTGTTCTGGTTAAATTCTTTTGAAGGTTATTCTTTCTGATGCCAATGTTCCTGGTGAAGGGGAACATAAAATTATGTCCTACATTCGCGGTCAACGGAATCTCCCTGGATTTAACCCAAATACTCGCCATTGTTTGTATGGCCTGGTATGTTCTATAAACCTATTTTTTATATATTTTAATTGGGCAATGTTTCTTCTGTTGGTCCTGCTAATGCATTTTTTTATATATACTCTTGAATGCAGGATGCAGACCTGATCATGTTAGCTCTTGCAACACACGAAGTACATTTCTCTATACTGAGAGAGGTTAGCTCTCCTCAGGACCTAGAATCAATGCCTTTTTGTGTAAATACATTTTACCATGTTATGCTAACTAAAAGAGCGGATTAGTTCCTTATGCTTTCTTGTTTATGTTATTTGTTTTCTCTCTCTTCTGACTATATTTTGGTTTCTTGCAGGTAGTTTATACACCTGGACAGCAGGACAAATGCTTCTTGTGTGGTCAGGTTGGACATCTAGCAGCAAACTGTGAAGGAAAGGTTAAGAGAAAAGCTGGGGAGTTTGATGAAAAAGGTGAAGCTATTGTTCCAAAGAAACCTTACCAGGTAATATTGTCTCTTTCCTTTGTTGCAATTTGTGGTCTAATAAGTACACTTTATGAATTTGCTGAGGACCTTGTTTTATTTTAATTGCTCCTTGTGTGACATTGCAGTTCTTGAATATATGGACCCTCCGGGAGTACTTAGAATATGAGTTCAGAATGCAGAATCCACCTTTCCCGATTGACTTTGAACGCATCGTTGATGATTTCATCTTCATGTGTTTTTTTGTTGGCAATGATTTTCTTCCACATATGCCAACATTAGAGATTCGTGAGGTTTGTTACCTGTTGTAAAGCTAAATGTTTTACTGGATATCTTCGTTTGAAGCTAGTAGCTATGAAATTATCAGATTACTACTTACTAGTAAATTGGATATTTATTTTATTCCTGCTTACAGTTCTCTTGTAGATTTGTTATTGCATGATGTTAACTTGGCTTTTCTGCAGGGAGCTATTAACTTGCTAATGGCTGTATACAAGAAGGAATTTCCTTCCATGGGTGGCTATCTAACTGATGCTTGCACGGTAATTAAAAAGCCACTCCTATTGAAGTTACCCATTTGTGTGTGTGTGTGTGTGTGTGTGTTTGTTTGCAGAAAGTAGTATTTTATTCCAACTGATCCAAGTTGGTATTTCAGTATTAACATGTTTTTCATCTGTTACATTAGCCGGATCTGAATAAAGTTGAACACTTTATTCAAGCAGTTGGCTCCTACGAGGATAAAATATTTCAGAAAAGAGCTCGTTTGCATCAGGTGATTTTATTTTATTTTACTCCTTAGCCTTTTCAATTCCCTTGTTATCATGTTATCATCTGGCACCTAATCTTTATTTTTACTCCATGCCACTATGCGCCAAGGGGTTCACCATTAGCTATCAGTTGAAATTTCTGTTTGTATTTGGCAATGTAATTTCCTTATTTGCAAAGTTCATTGAGTGTTTATTTTGATATACTGGTAATTTCAGCCTGATGTACTGCGTTATATCTTCTATGACATGTTGTCTATAAACTTCCTTCAAATTGGAGGTAGTGATTGTGAATTTGCCACCTGCCACCAATAGTCCAACACACTGCATTTCTTACTAATTGCTCCGTGTATTGTTTTAATATTACACCGTATATCTTCTCTATGCTGCTTTCTTCTTAGCTAGCCTTGTAAATTCACAATATAACATGGAAAGGTTCACAATGACCAGATAATCCTTGACATGTAGGTTAGTGTTTTTTTTTTTACAATACCTCTAAAGAAGTTAATTCTACAATTAGCATGTGTGAACACTGCCAATCCTTGAAAAGAAGTAAATGCTATGCTCCGTAGAAATCACATTATGTTTTGAACAATATTGAGACATTTTTGATTCCCATTTAGCTAGTAAAATCAGAAAAACCAGTTGATTGTTCAAGTATCTTCTAAACTAGTTATTTGTTCAAGGTTTTCTCCCCCATACTTTCCCCTAGAATTTAAATGTTACCCATGGAAAACTTCTGCATGCAGCGTACCACGTCCGTATGGCTTAGGCATGTTCCATCATTATTTATCCTTAGTTATGCAAAGCCTTCTGATATGATCAACATGAACTCTTGAGAAATAAATGTTTGCAACACTATTCTATATATCTGGCGGTCAAATATTCAACAAGTCATTGATGTTAAGTTCATATCCTTGTGTAGCGTCAAGCTGAAAGGATAAAACGAGAAAAGGCCCAAGCAAAACGAGGGGATGACCTGGATCCCCATGTCAGGGATGATCTTATTGTACCTGTTGCACGCTTCCAAGGGTCTCGCCTTGCATCTGGACCTGTGCCTTCACCATATGAACAAAATGGATCTGACAAAAACAATGGGGGAAAAAATAGTCGTGCTCGGAAAGCTGCACGGGTATCATCGTCAGGTTCAAGCATTGCGGCTGCTATTGTTGAAGCTGAAAATGACCTTGAAGCACAGGTAGCTCATTTCATCTGGCTCCAGGAGAATTTATATTTGTTTTTGAAGAAACATTTTTGTGATTTTATCTGACACTTGTTCCTGTATCTTTCTTAGGAACGCGAAAACAAGGAAGATTTGAAGACAATGCTTAAAGATGCACTTCGTGAGAAATCTGATGTTTTTAATTCTGAAAATCCAGAGGAGGACAAGGTTAGTGTTTACACACAAGTCATGCCACTGCTGTGCTGGACCTTATTATACGTTTAATTAAAGTGTTTACTTTCCTTTTATTTTAACTCATTTACTTTCTATTAGCTATTTGTTTAAATGTTTTCAATTTAGTCATAACATTGTTTGTCTTCTCAGATAAAACTTGGAGAACCAGGATGGAGGGAAAGGTACTATGAAGAGAAGTTTGGAGCAAGAACACCCGGGCAGATTGAAGAAATACGCAGAGATGTCGTAAGTGTCTTGAATACCTTTGAATTACTGCATTGCCTGATAATGGTGTCATGATGATCTATTGCTGTTAATATATAGTTGTACAAACTTCCATAAAAGATGCCATTTCATCGCTATTTGAGCATGTACTCATTTATTATCTTATATGTATGATGTGCCCTATTCATCTTCTTCAGGTTCTGAAATATACTGAAGGTTTGTGTTGGGTAATGCACTACTATTATGAAGGTGTCTGCTCGTGGCAATGGTAATTTAGCTTGAGTTGGTCAATATAGGTTGAATTGTGTAAAGGTTTATTTTCAACTCTTTGTCAATGGCCTTAAATTGTTATCTGTCTACCTCACCATGCACAGGTTTTACCCTTACCATTATGCTCCTTTTGCTTCGGATTTGAGTGGTCTAGGTCAACTCAATATAACTTTTGAACTTGGGTCACCATTCAAACCGTTTGATCAACTTATGGGAGTTTTCCCAGCTGCTAGGTGAATACACTAAGATAATGTTCCCTAGATCCCAGTTCCTTAATGTTGTGGATTTTTTGTAAAGGTTGTGGCATTACATTTCAGCTCCCATGCACTCCCTGTACAGTATCGGCAATTGATGACAGATGCAAATTCACCAATAATTGATTTTTATCCAACTGGTATGCTTATATTTGTGATGTTTGATATATTTTTTATTACCTTTCCACTTTATAATTTTACACTGTTTTCACCCATTTGTGATGCAGATTTTGAAGTAGATATGAATGGGAAGAGGTATTCATGGCAGGTAAATTGATTATAATAGGGCATATATTTATGTAATGTAAGTATACCTTCATGTTTAATCTATATACTTGAATTTGGCAGGGGATAGCAAAACTGCCCTTCATTGATGAAGCCCGGTTGCTAGCTGAAATTAAAAAAGTTGAGCATACTTTGACGGTATGGCAACAAAACAGATTGTCATTCAGTTGTGCTTTTATAATCCATGGAATAGGAGATCTTGTTCTAAGATATGCATCGCTTTTCTTACCTTCTGTACAGCCTGAAGAAGCAAGGAGAAACAGTATCATGTTCAATATGCTTTTTGTGAATGGCTCCCATCCACTTTCGCCTTATATCTACTCCCTCAACAGCAAATTTGGACACCTACCTGACAGAGAGCGAAATGAAATTAAAGAAAAGATTGATCCTTCTTCTAGGTTAGCTAACCCTATTAGGATCCTTGATTTACTGCAAATGCTATTTTTATTAGTTTAAAAGCATATGGCATTTGCACTGACCAGTGTTGTAGATTCTGTAATGCCTTCTGTGTCAGGCAAAAGTTCTGGCTAGCATAGGCCACTGAATTGTTTTTTTCTTCTTATTATTTCCTTAACGCAGCTGCCTTGTTTTGTGCAGTGGAGGAATGAATGGTTACATCTCACTTTGTAGTGGGGATCCGTGCCCTCCTGTCTTCAGGTCTCCTGTTGATGGGTTGGAGGATATCATGGACAATCAAGTGATGTAAGTTCAATCCCTTCTGGGAAATTAAGATAATATGATTTATTGGCAATCTAATTTACCATCATGTCATCTGTCTTAATTAGATGTACAATCTACAAGCTTCCGGATTCTCATAAGCACATCGCTCGTCCACCTGTTGGTGTAATCATACCCAAGAAGGTACATCTCTATCATTTTTGTCTAGTATCAACACTAGTAACATCTTTCCACTTGAGAAATGGTAATAACAAATAAGTAAACTCTGCAGACTGTTGAAGCTACTGACCTGAAACCACCACCTGTGCTATGGCATGAAGACAGTGGTAGGAGGCCTCATGATAATAACAACAGGAGGCCTTATGAAAACAGCAACAGGTACACTATCTACCTTTTGTGTTATTTTGTCAATCCTTGCAACGTCATTGAAAATCCTAACCTTCTGGTGAAATTGTTTAGGCAAAACCCAGCTGGAGCAATATCTGGCCGCCAACTTGGGGAAGCTGCCCACCGACTTGTGGTGAACAGCTTGAATGCTCGGAGTGGCGGACAATACAATACCCCATCGATGCCATATCAAACCATAATGAATGGCATGCCTTATCCAAATGGGATTCCACCAAGGATGGAGCAGCCTGCTCCTGGCTGGCATGTTCCTGGTGATCTACCAAATGGTCAGGTACCACCAGCTTATGCATCATCATCAGGTCATTATCAGAACGATAGGTCTGGGCCTTCTCAGTATGGACGAGATAACCATGGAAGGTACCCATATGCAAGAGACAACCACCATGATTCAAGAGGAAGGGTTCCACCATACCATCAGAGCGGTGGAAACTCGTATCAATCACATTCTGCTCCATCAGCAGGTCCTGGACGGTATGCGCAACCCCCACCATATGCTGGGGGGTATGGTAGGAGCTACCAGCCTGCACCGTATGGAGGTGGTCAGCAGTGGCAGCAGCAGCAGCAACAACCTTATGGCTCCTATGCTGGGTCAGGGCCTTATGGGGGTGGGGCACCTCCTGCAAGGCCTAATTCACGACCACAGCAGTCGCAGAACCGTTACAATACCTTAGATAGGAATTCTAACAGGAGACCTCCACCAGGTCATGGGCGACACTAAGCCCAACCTCTGTTTGTTGTACCTGTGGTTTTGTTGTTAGAAAACCTGCGTACTAAAATAGAGAACCTCAGCCTAGTAAAACAGAGAACCTCAGCTTAGAGATATATATAGAGCAATTTGCATAGTCTCGTGATCGACAAGCTGTTATAGCATCAAAGGTTCTAAGAGGCATGTGTTGTACAATAGAATTGTCAGTTCATCAGATACTGGTGGCTGACTGCCGTTTTTCATTTGTGGCACTCATTATTTTAGCCCCCTAAGGTTGGGAATATGTTTAACAAGTTTTGTATTTTTAAGATAATAATGTTCTAGGTTAAATTTCAGTTTTGGTGGATATATGTCAAAATCTTGTATTCTTTTCTTATTTATAATGGAATTGTGGTTTTCCCTCTAACCTGTCGTGGTTGTCAATTGAGAACAAGTGGTTATTTTTTGCTGGCTTATAAAATTTTTCTGTTAATATAAAATCGTGTCGTGTGATTGTTCCATGTCATGAACTCATAATGCATGAAAATTTTTGTATCTGTGTTGGGCTGTTGGCAGCAGTGTGGTTTACAGCAATGACGGTTACTGTACATATTTGCATCTTTTTGGTTGACGGAATAATATGAAGAGCTCAGAGTACCTTTAAGTATGCACTGTTTGTATCGAGTCTTCCATGCATTAATCCGGAATGCTGACTGCTGAGCACTTGAATTTTCGATGTATTCTGCTCCATGTCTCGATATGATCATATCTTGGCGAGGACTTAATTTTTCGATGTATTCTGGTCCATATAATCATATCTTGGCGGTCCGGTAAGTTTTTGAATTCTAGTCCTGGTTTGGGTATTCAATCGTAAGCTAGTGAAGTAGTGATTTGCTGACTGCAATTTTTATTGAGGGCTTGTTCAGTTTGATGTCAAAGTTAACCATACTAAATTTTGTCAACTTTAGTAATGTTGTTTGGTAAGGCAGAAACATGTAGTGTTGTTTGGTTTGTTACCTTGCTAAATATTCTTGTAAGTATGGTGTTACGTGAACAACTTCTTAAGAAAAATCACTAAATCTTTGGGGGTAGGGATAAGGTAAGTTAGGGTAGGGATAAGGTAAGTTATGGTAAAGTATTTTGAATATGTTTGGATTGTTATCTTGCTAAAAATTTGACAATGCCAAAGTTTAGTTTGGTTGAAAATAGTACTGCAGATAATACTGATTGGATTTTACTTGGTTATTCAGTGTTTCAGAACCGGGTGAGGATCCTTTACCTTAATGACATTATTATTACAATCACTGATAAGTGGTTCTCACATTTGATGTAATGGTAGAACCTATACTCGAATTAGATCTCGCTCTCTCCCCCCAACCTCCTCTGCCTCGTTCGCCGACGACGACGGTGACGGCTGCCCCGCCGTCCCCCGTGGCCACATCGCCAGCGTTACTATGCCAGTGAATTCAAGATATCACGCTAGCTTTCCAATAACCCACTGAGCTTTGCCCACGGCTGCCCCCATCGTCGCCGGCGGCCGGAGCGGGAGGGAGGAGATATCATCAGATCCCAGCGGGAAGCACACACCACTGCACAAGGTAACAGTCTTTCCTTGAATCTCTCCTCTCAAGTTGCTGCAACATTCAGCTGAACTTTTAAATCAATCGTGAATTAAACCGTTCTTGTGTGTTCCTAATTAAAATTATGAATGACGCGAGAAGTAATTTTTTTTATAAAAAAGGTAAAATGGCAGTCTATACAATCCGGACTTCATTTTGGATGCTGTTGTCAACGACAGTGTCAGCAGTGGAGGAGAACGAGCGCTTGGATCTTGATCTTGATGATCTCGACGAAGCCGTCGGTGAATTGTTCTTGGATTTCTTCCTTCTGCTCTTCCTGGGCGGCTTTGGTATGTCGGGATGTGGTGGATTTGCTTCCTTACCAGCATTTTCGACATATAAACCGAAGGGTGATATATCTTGAGGGTGATCGAAATCTGTCGAACAAACTGTCGCAAATCAGTAAACATATAATGATGTAGTATAATTAATATCTGGTACTTTTTAGAAATTTTTCTTGCATTCGACGACATTTGTGTTTACATATGCATTTCAAACATATCATCCTCTCGTATGTCTTTGGGTTCATTGAAGCAAAAACAAATTGCTGTAATGGATTGGGTTGATATGTTGGTTTGCAAGTCAGCAGTATTTTGATGAAGACTACTAAGCGGATTAAATTAATGTTATATTTTAATCCCTGATGCATTCATAAGTCCACTAGTTAGTTAAACTATTCCCATTTCGCATCAGCTTTTCAATATCTCTTTTTCCTGTACGAACTGGGTGGACTTCCTCGCAGAATAGAACTTTGTACTAGGTAATATGTTACTGTCAAATGTCCGGCACACTAGAGTTCTGCAGAAGTTTTTCGTTTATCGTGCAAAGCACGTCTTGATATGCCATGTACTAGCATGATATGAATAAACTTGCTTTGTTTGGAGTCAATTAGTGTTTTTTTTAATAAAAATTCTTCAACACTACATAGTTTTTGCATTGCTGGTGTAGATAAAATTAGCTTGAGGTCTTTGCTACAGCTTTCACCTTGGACGAAAATATTAACTTCTGACACCAATATTGACTTGACAACAGAAACAAAAAAGAAAAAAGTTCATGATTGGTACTCCTAACTCCAAAAGATCTATTTAGGCTGTGTAAATGTGACACCTAATTTTTTTTAGTAATCATTGCTTTTTTTAGTAATCATTGCATGATTGTATCTAAGATCGACCAACAAACAGATAATTCTGTTGGTTGTTGAAAGATGTTGAATTGCTTAATTGCATCTTGTCTCCCTGAAAGTAGTATCGCATCATGATTCTTGAACCAGCAGAAGATTACTATTAATTGCATCCTTGTCCCCCTGAGACTTTAGTATCAGATCATGATTCTTCAACCAACAGAAGATTGCTGAACATGGCAGCATGAGTGTATTCCTACAGTATTCCTATATGGCTATTTCCTAGGATAATCAATGGCGTGTTTAATTCCCTCTCAAATACGAGTACATGCCACTAAAATAAACTAGAGAAGAATCTTGTTGCCTAGAGAGAACAGATGCAGGTGACGTACCAACCAACTAAACATTAATTGCACCTGGTGAAAGAAGTCAAGAAATGAAGAACAAGAGATCACCTTGAGAAGTCCAGGACGTTCCTGTAGATGGTCCAAAATTGTTCAAAGACGAATAGTCAGGCGACCCCTTCATGTCATTCATCTACAAGTATTTTTCAGATGATTCAGCTTGCAAAATTGTGGCCAGTGTAGTTAAGTTGTCAAAACATAATTGTAATTAACATTGTTCTATTATGTCAGGTACCCAGCTAGGAGAAGCCGCACTCCCTGTCGGGCTATCCCAACCTATGTGCGTGACATGCTTGACGTCGGTTGGATAACCAATCTCCATTTGGTGTTCCTTCACCACTGCAAGATGGTTTAAGCAAGATCAAGAAAGAAATTAGGTTGTGCAAATCAAATGAACTGACTATTCATGCCTTGTGTAACATTGTAGAAAAGAAAGTAAAATCTACTTGATGGTCACATACCGAAGATCTGAGAGATGACCTTGAGGCCCTTGAAAACCCCTTTCATCTTGTACGCCATTGGTAGATGTTGTTCACAACCAGAATCCCACTGGAAACAGAAGACAAGAAGCAAAGGTTAGCAATGAGCTCTGGTTTCACAACAGTTCCATTGCTGAAAGAATATGTATCAGCCAGATAATTATGATATGTTTTGTCCGATATGATTATCGATGAATTTACTTACCTCAAGATGTTATGATGGGAGGTGATGATGATGATGTTGATACCCTCCTTGGATGTTCTCAATGGAAGGATTTGGAGTAAGCAACAGGTCCATCACCTCCCATTCTATTTCTCTAGTATGGCGTCAGGAACATCCATGAGAAGATTGTATTTGTTAGGATTTTATGAAGGTTGGCAGCTGGAATGAAGCAAGGAAAGGAAAATATTTGTTTTTTTATGGATACATTTAATCTGGCAGCAAAATCATAACAATGAGCAAAATGGGTCTCCAGAACTTTTGAGTTGTCAGAAAATGGTTATAATAACAGACAAATATGTGCAGGCTTTCCTGCCTTTGCCAGACAAATGAAAAAAAATAAAAATCATATATATGAAAAGTATTCAGAAGCAATCTAACTGTACAAGAATACAGGTACATTGGAGTTCCAGACCACTAAGTCTTCAGCTGCATACGTGCTGTTGTCCCTAAACACAAAGTTATAATAAGCATGAGATGCAGTCACGTTAAGGACAGGCTTACAGGCTTGTGAATCAGTCAAGAACCGCGTCTTGAGATGCTGCTGGTAATTTGCATAGTTAGACACAGCTAATAATATTTGGAAAGATCAGCCTTGAATTAGCTATCAAAGATGGATAAATTGGGAGATACGCAAACACACAAAAAGCTAGGTTGAGGATATCAATGTGATTCAGAAAGGATGTAAGGGGAGGTATCAATCATTCAAACAATTACAAATCACACTTTTGCTGCTATTAATTCCTCCACAAAATATAGTTCACTTTTGCTGTTATCAATTCCTCCACAAAATATAGTTGTTATGTCCCTACAAAAATATATAGTTATGAATCAAATTAAGAAGGTTGCATAGTGGGAGACTGTTGACAATTTAGGCCATGTAGATACTAGTGCAACATTCCCTATTCATATATATATATATATATATATATATATATATATATATATATATATATATATATATATATATATATATATATATGCTCTATGTCTTTATGGAGTTAGATATGAAATTATCCATCTTTGAAACTGGTATTACGGTAGTCGATTTTTTAGCTCCTTATCAGCGTGGTAGAAAAGTTGGACTTTTGAGGGAACTGGAGTAAGTAAATGCATAGCGCAAAGAAATCAAACCCAAATAAAGATGAGAAAAATAAGAAACGGTTAAAGAAAAAAAAACTTTATCGATCTGTGATCCTGAGACAAAACATGAAATTAAGGAACATTTCATTTGCATTTGCAGCTGGGTCACATAATTTCTTACAAAGTATAGTTAGGACGTATCAATGAAGGAAGTGAAACTGGAACATACATTATACCAGATACAGCTTTACCATGTTACATTCTTGAGACTGGATCAGATTGTGAAGGTGACCTTATCAGTGGAGCTACAAATATGTAGGCTGCACACAATGTCACTGCACTGAGATGACCTTTTTCCTATGTTCATACATTTTAGCAAAGTATAAGAAACAGGCCAGGGACAAAGCATTGAGCACGGTAATAAGCAAGTAGAAGTAATCGACATGCCCTCTGTTTGGATTGTTAGAGAACCAGCTGTCTCCAAAGCTACTGGTCACCCTGTCAATGGCATATACAATGAAACTACTGATGAAGTTCCCAACTCCAATTATGCTCAAGAACAGAGCCATGGAAAAGCTTCGCAGACTCTCCGGTGCCTCACCGTAGAAGAACTCTTGCAATCCAATCACAGCAAACATATCAGAAATTGCAGCCAGAATGTTCTGCGGAACAATCCACAAGAAGCTCATAGGAACAACAGCTTCAGGTTTGTCCACAAGGCCGAAATCTCTTGCTATCCTGAGCCTCCTCATCTCAACCATTGCAGCAACGATCATCGTGATGATCGAGAGAACCAACCCGACGCCGATCCTCTGCAGCGTCGTGATACCGCTAGGGTTCTTGGTGTATCTTCTGGCCACTGGGATAAAGATTCTGTCATAGATTGGGAGGAAGACCATGATTGTAGCATTGAACAATGCCCCGTTTGAAGCAGCTGGCAGCACTAAGCTGCCTACCCTTCTGTCCAGTGTGCTTGCTTGCTTTGTAAAGAAAGTGATGCACTGTGCCATCACAGCAGCATATATCAGGCTGGAAGCCCATATTGGAAACAACTTGACCAGCTCTGCAGCTTCTTTAGGGACGAATTCACTGCTTGAATTGCTGACATCCCCCTCAGACGATGATGACGGTAGCAACTCATCAGAACTGTCAGGCAATCTGCAGCAAATGTTAGTTCCAAAATGACTCAATGGGAAGTTTCAGACTTTCAGTAGTAACCTTACTTCGAACAGGACGATGCGATCCAACGTCGAATCCACTCGGCGACCTCTCCGAATGGGTTTCCCTTACTCTTCGGAGGGTAGAAGCGATAACTCCTTGTCCCGATCAAGAAGATGGCAAGAGAAACGGCCATGGCGATGCATGGGATTGCGAAGCCAAGCTGCCAGCTTACGCTTTCCTGGACATAATTCAAGATGGGAACAGTGACAGTGTTGCCGCCGTAGGAGGCGAAGAACCACCAGTTGAAGAAGGAGCTCCTGGAGGCGAGCTCGCCGGGGTCGTTCTCGTCGAACTGGTCTGCACCCAACGCCTGCGCGCAAGGCTTGTGTCCGCCCTGAGCAAACGCCACCACGTAGAGTGAGAAGTAGAAGAAAGCCACATGAGCAGCTAGATTTGAGCTCTCGGATGACTCTTCCGGTGCAAGAACCGACGAGACAGTGATCATGCCCAGCCCCTGCAAAAACAGTAAGAAAAAAAAATCAGGCTCCAAACCAAGCCAGGATAGTAATTTGTAAGCTGCTGGATGAGATAATGCGACATGGTAGAATCTGAGTACTTCGAACTCTTGTTTGCGACAGCGACTCACAAATCAAAATGCTAGTATCTCCTTTTTACCTATAAAGGGAAAACTGTATTTTCTAGTTGCACTTTTGCCGGGTTCTTTTTTGTTTCTGCGGATTTCACCAATCCATTCGTTCGCCGTGAAACTGACAGCTACTCGTGTAGTCCCTCTCTGAAACGTCACAATACACGTCTGTGCTAGTAGTAGGGTGCTATTCTTTTCAGATGAAATGTTGATTGATGATCTACTTAAATAAAGAAGAACCAAATATTATACTCCCTCCTTCCCATTTTAAGTGCAACTATGAGTTTTCGTGTCCAACTTTAATCATCCGTCTTATTTGAAAATTTTTTATAATTAATAGTTTTGTTGTTAAGAGATAGTAAAACATAAATAGTACTTTATGCACGACTTAGTATGTTATAAACCGAACAAATAGCTTAAAATAAGTGGTCTACGTATATAAAGTTGTTGGAAAAATCATATTTTGATGCAAATAATCTACCAGTAATTAATAAGTAGTATCACTGTCTACTCTACTATGGTCTATATATACAGGCAAAATAAGGGCCTGTTTATTTTGATGCCAAAAAAAACCTTATCAAATTTTGGTGGCATAGTTGCTAAAATTTTGGCAACTTGCCAAAATTTTAGTAGAATTTCTTATACAGTTACCAAAATTTGATAACAAACTAAATGTAGCTATTTTTTTTTTAACTTTACTAAAATTTGGTAAGGTTAAAATGGCATCAAAGTGAACACGTCCTAAGATTATACATACTTACATACTTGGTTGGCTTATTCAGGGAAAAAACCAAACGACATATTTGCAAACGAAAAATAATCTGTGAATAAAATTTTTATATACGTGTTTTTTTAGCGATTTAAAAGCAAATGCTAAAAAAACAAACTACGATGAAAAAACCACAAAATCAACTCTAAATTTAAAGTCAACTCTAAATTTAAAGTTGAAACTTTTAAATTTTAGTTTATAATATAAGTATAAGCATATAAACGAAAAAAAATGAGGATAGTCATGGTACACGTACCAAGATGTAGAGGAGGGAGGCGCAGACGATGGTGCGGTAGCGGCCGAGCCATGAGTCGGCGACGGCCGAGCCGAGCAGCGGCAGCAGCATCGAGGTGCCCATCCACACGTTCACCGCCGCCGCCGCCGCCGCCGTCGGCTGCCGGAGCGGCCCGGTCAGGTAGATCACCAGGTTCCCCATGATGCCCGAGTATGCGAACCTCTCGCCTACCTCCGCTCCTGCACCTCACAACACAACACGCCTCGTTACATGCTACTTTTTTTTTCTCTTCTTTTCTTTTTCCAAAAAAAAAAGGATAAGGCGGCGGCGAACGTACGTACCGATGAGGAAGAACGCGGCGGGCCACCGGCCGGAGCTGCCGCGGGAGGCCGGGCCGCCGAGGTGGTCGACGGCGAGCAGCGGCGGCGACTCCGGCTCCGGCTCCGGCAGGAGAGCCTCCGCCTCCATTGCCATGGCTGCTAACCTCCCAACCGTTTTGAGTGTGATTTTTCAATTAGCGTGCGTGCAACACAAACATCACCAGCCGAAAGAGATGATAATATATATATATTGATATGATATCCTTGTAGTATCAAACGCCAGCCATTTGAAGGGAAAGGGAAAAATGGTGGTAGCATCTCTCACCTTCAAATCATCGACGGACGCGTGCAAATATACGTCGCGATCGCACGGGCGTCGAGGCGATGAGGACAAGGCACCAAAATGCGAAAGAAAAAAATCACCATAGTACACAACTATACTGCTGGAAATTTTGCAAAACTGTCACATTGATGCTTTTTAATATTATTTATAACTGCCATAACTTTCACAGTCCACAAATTGTACAACCACCCCTGAAAAAAGAAAATCAACATTTCTCCACAGCAATTTTTACTTGCTGTGGCACCTAGGCTAGATCTCCTTCTCCATGCGAATCGTTCAAGGCTTCAAGCAGCAACAGAAAAGCATCGTACGGGCATTCACTCTTGAAGGCACTGTACAGCACTACTACAGCAGCATAAGCAAGCTGCAAGCCTTTTACCGCCTGAAGGTCTTCGAAAGTGATATGCCAACAACCAACATGTGATAGCCAATGCATTTTCAGCATCTTTTGACACATCCTCACTGTACTGAGATGCCCTTCTTCTTGTGGACATACACTCGCGAAAAGTGTAGATAAGCAGCTAAACCAAGAACACTGAGCACAGCCAATAGCCAGTAGAAGTAATCAAGATGACCTCGGTTCAGATTGTCCGAGAACCAGCTATCCCCAGTCATGCTGGTCACCTTGTCAATTGCATACACAAGAAAGCTGCTGATGAAGCTCCCAATCCCAAATATGCTCAGGTACAAAGCAAGGCCCAAACTGCGCAAACCATCTGGTACTTGGTCATAGAAGAATTCTTGCAGGCCAACCATTGTGAACATATCAGCCAAACCAGTCAGGATGAACTGAGGGACCACCCACCAGAAGCTCATGGGGATTGTGGCTTCAGGATTGTCCACCAGGCCAAAATCTCTTGCTACCATGAGCCTTCTCGTCTCCACAAGGGCAGAGACAACCATCAGAATTACTGAGATAATCAATCCAATTCCAATCCTTTGCAACGTTGTGATACCGCGAGGGTTCTTTGAGTACCTCCTAGTAAGTGGAACAAGGATTCGGTCATATATAGGAACAGAGATGACGATCGACACACTGATCAAGCTTTGTAGGGCAGCAGCTGGTATGTGTACTTTACCTATCCACCTGTCTAGTGTGCTTGCTTGCTTAGTGAACAGTGTTATCCACTGGGCAAAAACAATTGCGTAAATCAGGCAGGTTGCCCCTATTGGGAACAATTTAAGCACAGCGGTGGCTTCATCAGGAAAGCATGCCTTTTCTGCATCATTGTGATCTCCCTGGGATGATGATGCTTGGGTGCAGTGAAGATCCCCTGATGATCTGCATGCCAGAGGAAGAACGAGCAAGTAAGGTTGTAGTTTGCAACGGATGGGCTCTGCGGGTGGTTTCATTGCATACATACTTTGAACACCATGATGCGCACCACCATCGTATCTTTGCTAGAAGCGATTTCCCAACCTGGTCGAATAGGCTTGTGTTACTTCTTAGAGGATAGAAGCGGTAACTCTTGGTCCCAAGCAAGAATACTGCAAGAGAAAGAGACATGGCAATGCAAGGGATTCCAAACCCAAGCTGCCAGCCTATGTTATCTTGAATGTAATTCAAGATTGAAACTGTAATGACATTGCCGCCATATATCCCAAAGTACCACCAATTGAAAAATGAGCTCCTTGAGGCACATTCTTCAGGGTCATTCTCATCAAATTGGTCGGCCCCAAATGCTTGGACACAAGGTTTGTGGCCACCTTGAGCAAAGGCCACGATATACAGGGACAAGTAGAAGAAAGCTACATGAATGTCCATACTGGAGGATGCATTATTATCTGCATTATCTCCAGATTCTGCTTGTTGATGAGGTACAAGAACCGGTGATAGCGTGAGCATGCCAAGCCCCTATATTGTGGATACAATTCAGTGAGAAATCTACATAATAAAAAACATCCAAGAAACTCCACAATATCATTGTCTTACACAGAAACTGAATAGTATCATTTTATCACAGTGATGCATAATTGCATAGTATGCCCATTATGATGGTGATAGCCATATATCATGTGGATGGAAAGGACAATATTTAGCTGAATTATTGCCTGAAATTCCTCCGTGCTTCAGATCTAAACACATCAAACTTGCCCCTATGGTTAATCCTTTACCCGGAGAAAGTAGAAACTATATCAGGAAAAATCATTGTTAGCAGAGCTAATTACTCTGAAAATTCCAGGTGAACTCACAGAATCAGAGTAGCATATGTTCAGCATTGTCACAGGTTCATCATAAAAGTGGCAGTTGAGTAAGCCACACAAGAACAGCCGACAGCGAGAGCACTGCACTGCACATACCAGGATGTAGAGGAGGGAGGCGCAGATGATGATGCGGTAGCGGCCGAGCCAGGAGTCGGCGACGGCGGCGCCGAGCAGCGGGAGCAGCAGCGCAGCTCCGTTCCACGCGTTGATGGCGGCGGCGGCGGACGCCGTGGACTGCCCCAGCGGGCCGGTCAGGTAGGTGATCAGGTTCCCGGAGATGCCGCCGAAGGCGAACCGCTCCGAGATCTCCACGCCTGCGATGGCGACCGACGGCAACTGCACGCGGATTAGTTCGGGAGAGAGAGAGAGAGAGAGTGCGGTGAGAGCGCGGCGGCGCTTGCTCGTTGACTCGCCGCCGCCGCCGCCGCCGCCCTGGTTTCTCGGGGGGAGTTTTTTGGAGGTACCGATGATGAAGAGGGCGGCGAGCCACCGGCCGGAGGTGCGGCGGGAGGCCGGACGGCCGAGGTGGTCCACCGCGGAAGCCGGCGGCGGCAGGAGGGGCTCCGCCCCCGCGTCCATGGTGGCTCGGTCGCCGTCCCGTTCAGATATTTTTTCCTCTTCTCAGTAAACGATCTAACGGAGTTTCAAAAAGAAAGTAAACGATCTGACATATTTAACTAATTGCCACTTTTAGATGTTGCAATTAACTATTTGCCACCATATTTAATTGCCATATCTAAAAGTGGCAAATATTTAAATACCCTAGCGCGCACGTTACTCTCGTTACTATATATTTGTCTATAAATTTATATATGTCTAAAGTTAAAACGACTTATAATTTGAAACGGAGGGAGCACTTTGTTGGCGGTTGCTAGTTGCTATAATCCGTTCCTGAACAAACTAACATGTGACACGTGACAATATATGCAAATTTTATTATTGGGATAACTGTAAAAAAAAAGTTCATAGAAGTTTGACATTCCACCTAAGTTATAGGCAAAGTGACATATTTCAGATTAAAAGTTATAGTTTGACTAAAGTAACTTAGTACAAAACACATTAACAGTTCACAACTTACAAAAACAAGTTGATTCGGTTAAGCACATAAGCATTTTGGGTGGTTTTTACAACAAAATTGATTAGGTTGACAGTCATTTGTAGCAAAATAACTTATGAGATAGAATACCAAAATTCAAATAATTTATGCGATGAATTTTATAAATTTCCCTTTATTATTTTCTGAACCTTACTAAATCTAAAATTTAAAAATAAACCTCACAAAAATTATTTTAAAAATATACTCCCTCTGTTCCATAATATAAGGGATTTTAAGGTTTTACTTGCACTGTTTAATCACTCGTCTTATTAAAATAATTTAAAATTATTTTTTTACTTACTTTATTATCTAAAGTATTTTAAGGACAACTTTTTATTTTTTATATTTACACAACTTTTTAAATAAAACGAGTGATCAAGACCGACCAAGCCATAGCACGGTATGCTCGCTAAGCTAAGTGTTTCTTCTTTTATTTTTATTTCTTGTTACAGTAAGAGCCTGGCATGTATTGTCAACTAGTACTGCAGATTTTCAGAAACCTCGGCTTTGTTCTTGTAGACATATCGCTTTGAAATGTACACGAACACGGCGACCTCCAAAGCGACGAGTGCAGTGAGAATCCAGTAGAAGTAGTCGAGGTGGGCGCGGTTGATGTCGTCGGAGAACCAGCTGTCTACTCCTCTCCTCGTCGCTCAGTCGATCGCCGACACGAGCGCGCCGCTGGCGTAGCTACCGACGCCCTGCGCGCTCACGGACATGGCGAGCCCGACGCTGCGGAGGGCGTCGGCCGCCTGGCCGTAGAAGAACAAATAAAGGATTTGCAAAAACAACTTTACGCTTCTTTCAACCTTACATTAAACACCTAAATTCCCGTGACTTGCTAAGTACAAAAGTACTCACCCTTACTCTCTCTCTCTCTATATATATATCCTCCGTCTTGAAGAGAAGATGAAGTGAAGTGAAAAATAGGGTTTCGTTCTGGTTCCCAGCCGTCACATGTGGTGTTGGGTGTTAGTCCGTTGATTCCGCTACTGTTGCTGTTGCTGTTGGTGTTTGCCTCGTCTGTGTCGCCGATTGCATTCTCGTGTTGTTCTGAGCTACAATCTAAGTTAAGATAAATAAGTCCTCTATTTATTTTAAGCATCACAATGATTCATATTTATCACCAGCGCTATGTCCTGAGATTGGTACTGGAATCGCGGTTTCGTAGGAAGCAGTGCGAGAATCGCGGTTTCGTAGGAAGCGGTTCGCACTGTTTTTTCTACGATACGTTCCTGTCGGGTGCCGTTGTACGGCGGTGCCGGATCGAGGAGTGACAATAAGGTAAACCCTGTTCACACCACACCGCTATACATCTTCTCCATACCAACCATTTTCCAGATTTATAAACTTCAAAAGAATTATTGCTCGCCTTTGTTCTTGTAGACATATCGCTTTGCAATGTACACGAAAATGGCGACCTCCAATGCGGCAAGTGTGGCAAGGATCCAGTAGAAGTAGTCGAGGTGCGCGCGGTTGAGGTTATCGGAGAACCAGCTCTCTCCTTCTCCCCTTGTCACCCAGTCGATCGCTGACACGAGCACGCCACTGGCGTAGCTCCCGACGCCCAGCACGCTCAGGGACACGGCGAGCCCGACGCTGCAGAGCTCGACGGGCACCTGGTCGTAGAAGAACTCCTCGAGGCCGATGAGGCCGAACACCTTCGATGTGCCGAGGAGGACGAATTGCGGCACCAGCCACCACACGCTCGTCGGCACCGTCGCGTCTGGCCTGTCGACCAGCCCGGCGTCGCTCGCGGCGCGGAGCCGTTTGGCCTCGACGAGCGCCGCCACGGCCATGGCGAGGCCCGACATGGCCATGCCGGCGCCGACGCGCTGGAGCGTGGTGATGCCCGCGAGGTGCCTTGTGAGACGCCTCGCGAGCGGCACGAGGGCACGGTCGTAGACCGGCAACAGCGTGACGATGGTGACGCTGATGGCGAACTGCAGCGCGGCGGGCGGCACGACGAGGCCCCCGCCGACGTTCCGGTTCATCGTGCTGCCCTGCTTGGTGAACAGGGTGATATCCTGCGAGGCGATGATGGCGAACACTATGCTGGTCATCCAGATTTTTTTTTTCGCCGGAAAAGGCAGAAGGAGACCATCCGAGTATATTAAGAAGAAGTAAAGTTACAAAAAAAAAAAACACGACAGAAGCTGTCGAGGACGGATGTGCACGAGACACCACACGCTAACCACACAAGCACAAACCACTGAAAAATGAAACCAAGCACCAAAACGACCCCCGCTAAGCGTGGCCGATCGCCGCCCGGCCTACAACAACACCACAAAGGCGAGACTCCAAAAAAACGATGTCCCCAAGGAGGTCATGACATCAAGGACGCCGCCATCGCCCATCTAAGAAAGATGTGGTTTTCACCCAGAGAGAACTCGCCAAGAAAGGGGAAGAGGTACCCACAACAGCGCCCCCAAGAGGGTTACGACACCCGAAGGCGTAGCCGCTGCTAGCCCGGTGATCACCGAGCGAGGCTTACGCCTGGAACCCCTGCAACCTTTCAAGTAGTTTGTCGCCCATCAACTCATTAACCACTACACAAGCATTGGCAGCGCGTGGCTTCCACCAAGACCGCACCGGCGCCCCTCCACCGGCCGACTTCCGAACTTGCTGCAGAACCCTGCCGCCAGCTCGCTGCATCCCACCGCTCCTCCCCTGAGAGCTGGCCCAGGCCACCTCCGTCCCGCCGCCCGCCGGCCTCTCGCCATGTTCGGCCAAAGGAGAACCCGGGACTAGACAACATCGCTTCGGCCGCTTGAGCTTCCTCCACTGACCAGCAGCCGCCTCAACCCAACCGAAACTCCCCACAAAGAAGGGGAGAAGCTCAAGAAGGGAGAGGGTGCTGACCGGCAACGAGAAAAACGACGCACCGCCGCCAGCTCTCTTTGCACAGCCGCTTCTCCCATAAGCACTGACACCGGACCTGCAATGCCGAAACCGGCCGCCGCTCGAGGTCTCCAGCTCCACCACCGTCAAGCGTCCTAGCCGCCCGCCCACTGCGCCTCCTCGTCGCCGGCAGCGGAAGCCAAGGAACAAGGCGCCGCCGACGCCACCGGCTGCGGCAGCCTCGGGGCGTCCCGCCGCCGTCCGGCAGCCATGGCGGCCGCGAGCTGCTCCGGCCAGATACGCCTGCAGCGGCGCCCGCGCCGGCGCCCAGTCTCGGCCGCCGCAACAGTGCCGACGCCCCTCCGGCCGCCGCGGTGACGCCAGCGAAACCACCGCCGCAGCCGCTCTGCCGCCGAGCCCTCAAGGCCCCGGGCCGCCGCGCCCTCGCCGTCGCGTTGTCGCGCCGCCGTACCGGCCAGATCCGGCCTCAGAGGCGCCGGATCCGCCGCCTCCCCACGCCGGCCTGCTGTCTCCGCCTCCGGCCGCTGAGGTCGCCGTCGTCGGCTATGCCCCATCCTCCCCGCGCTGAGTTAGTGGCCTCCGAGCTTGAAAGGCCTCGCCGCCGCCTTCCCAGCTCGCCACCGGCTTGGAGGAGGAGGGGGCGGGGTTGTGGCGGCGCGGGCGGCTAGGGTTTTCGCCCCCCGAGCCGCCCGCGCGAGAGCGACGCGGGGGTATTCTCCTCGTCGTTGGGCTTGGTCATCCAGATTGGAAGCACGTTGACGAGAAATCCCTTGCCATCCACCACTTCTTTGGATAGAAGCCTGCACGAATAACGTTAAGAGAAATTTGATGTCACGCGAAGATTGCAATTTGCATCCGTGCGCGCGTGCTCACCGTTCTGTGCAAATGGCATCCTTGCGGCAAAACACCCTCTTCGTCCACGCGCGCGCGGCCGCGGCGGACGTCTCGGCGAGTCGCGCGAGCGGCGCGCCGTCGATGGGTCGCTCGGCAGTGGCACGGTACGTCCCCGTGCCGAGCAGGAAGACGGCGAGGTACAACACCATCGTGGCCCAGCACACGGCGAACCCGACGGTCCAGCTGACGTTGTCCTCGACGTAGCTCAGCAATGTCGTGGCGACGGCGTAGCCCCAGGATGTGGAGAAGTGGAACCAGTTGAAGTAGGAGCTCCGCGACGCGTTCGCGCCGGGGTCGGCGTCGTCGGCGAACTGGTCGGCGCCGATGGCCTCGGAGCAGGGCTTGTGGAAGCCCTGCGCCAGCGCCAGCAGGTAGAGCGCGGCGTAGAAGAAGGCGAGGCGGGAGGTGGGAGACGGCGGCGGCAGGCAGGCGGTGGCTCCGCCATTGCAGCTCGCCGGGCGAGGGTGCTTTGGTTGCAGCGTGGATGAGACCGTCAGCATCCCTAAGCTCTGTAGCAGACATTGTAGTTGGGTAAGGAGTGTCAGAAATGGCGATGATGTGTCCAATGGCAATGGCAATCACCCTTTTTTTTTTTGAACGGAAAAAAAAGTTGAGGCAATCACCTTGAAAAATCTGTTCAATTTAGGTAAAACAAAGTCTTATAGAAACTATCTTACAAAATTCAAGGTTGATTTTATATCTCAAAATTATTGTCTAGAAGTTTCAGATTCAGTTTTATTGAGGTGTACTTGATAATGCAGTGGCAAAAGGTGTGTGGTTTCAATCCCGAGGTCATCTTACAATCTCTTCTTAGAAAATGTCGAATAAAAAAAATTTAGTTTGCTCCCTCTAAATTCGTTGTATTAATTAGTATCATACTCCATTCTAGTTTTATTTATTATTCTAGTTTTATTTATTTTGAGGTGAATGAAGTAGCTTTCACCTACAGCTGTTGGACTGGACCAATGTACCAGACTTAAGCGCTACGCTCATACTCCAATTTCTTGCCAAAAAGGGGAGTAGTTTACTCCTCCAACTTAAGCGAACCGGATCATGATCATGACATGACTAACGAAGATGACAGGCTTGGGTATCCGAGAGGATCGAAATAGGGAGGTGCAGAGCGGCGACGCGCGACGGAGCACTGACCAGAAGGTAGAGCACGCCGGCGGCCACGACGGCGCGATACCGGCCGAGGTGCGAGTCGGCGGCGAGCGCGCCGACGAGCGTCAGCACCATCACCGTCCCGCCCCAGGCGTTGTCCGCCGCGGCCGCCGCCGCCATGGACATGCCCATCAGCCCCGTCAGGTACATCATCAGGTTGCCCTGCACGCCGTAGAACCCGACGCGCTCCAGGAACCCGACGGCTGCAGATCAGTGCAGATCGATCACGCCGCAGCAAAAGTTAGTAGAATGACAGCCGCATGCATGGGCGAGGTTTACCGATGATGAAGAGCGCGGCGCGCCAGCCGCCGCGGCCGTCGCCGTGTTTGGAGGCGGCGGACGATGGCTCGTCGGAATGTGCAAGTAGCCGGCCGGACTCCATGGCTGATTGGCTGGCTCTGCCCCCCTCTGACCTTTATAGTTACGAAGTACAACTTATAGCTGACATATGAAGATATATTTCTTTTATCAGATTAATTGCTCTTGAACGAGAACTCCCTCATGCCGAAAATGTGGAGCACACATATCGATAACATAAAGAAACAAGTATGGGTCAGTGTCACGATCTTCAGAAATTTTTGGCACAATAAAAAGAAGCATTGGTAGCACTCACCTTTCTAAAAAAAGATCTGGTACCACTCCATCTCGTGCACTAAATATTTGAGAGTAACCTAAGTACTCCTATTTTTAAAGTTATTGATGGTCAAAGTTATAAAACTTTTGACCTCAGCCTTGTCTAAAACGTCAATTAATATGGAACCGAAGGGAGTAAGAGCAACTTTAATGGTAGGTGATAAAGCTAACTATATATTTATGTGCAATCGAATAAGAAAAAATGAGTAGTGTTAACTAGCTCTATACATATTCCTAGATAAATGCATTAATTATATAAGCGAGAGAGATATTACCTCCGTAGTCGTAAAGAAAGTCGTTTAGGACAATGTTTAAGTCAAACATTGGGAATATAAATCATGAATAACTCTCAAGTTGTTGAGTTTAAAAATGTAAAATCTATATGAATAGATTTATCTTGAAAAATACTTTCATAAAAGTATACATATATTACTTTTTAATAAATATTTTTATAGAAATAAGAAGTCAAAGTTGTGTTTTAGAGACCGTGTCGTTGTCCAAAACGACTTTCTTTATGAATACGGAGGGAGTAAGAGATAAAAGATTAGAAATAATTTTATACTCCCTCCGTTTCACAATGTAAGTCTTTCTAGCATTGCCCACATACATATAGATGTTAATGAATCTAGACATACATGAATGTGGGCAATGCTAGAAAGTCTTACATTGTGAAACGGAGGAAGTAGCTAATTTATTATATTTTTTGGGGGGAATTTATTATATATGTTAGCTCTAATTCTACTTTTGTATTAGCTTATAGTTTGTAGTTAGCTCTACTACTAAACTTACTGTAACAATGTTTGTCTAACTTGTTCTCCTGCAATCCAAAGATCCAAACCCAATCTATGAGGTTATCCCCTTTTGGCCTTTTGGATTTTTTTTATTAAACTTTGTCAGTTGATTTCACAACAAAATTAATCACAATCGTATCAAACATTTCAAAATGATTTCAAATCTAAATCTAACGGTATTGCTTTTGTCACAGAACCCACATATTATTCACTAATTGTTGTTGGAAAATCAAAAAAGATTATTTCTTTCTGGAAAATTCAACGCAGAGAGAGAAAATCCACTTTGGTAAATCCATTGCAGAGTACTACTAAATATATCAAGTAGAAGTATTGCAGTAAGAAATGCAAATTGCAAGTTGGTTTGCTCCTTTTAATGCACATTTGGAACACAAGATTTTCGAAACATGCGAACAGGAAAAAAAAAATAGCATTGGATTGTCCTAGCATGTCAAATTATACAACCACATGCATTTTCAATAGGACTATAATTATACATGCAAATGCTGCGAAAATGCAATGTATGTTCAAACTACACTAGCATACATCTTCTGATCTTCCCCATGCGAACCATTTTTCAGATATATATATAAAAAAAAACAGAAGAATCATTGCTCGTCTTTGTTCCTGTAGACATATCGCTTTGCAATGTACACGAAAACGGCGACATCCAATGCGGCGAGTGCGGCGAGGAGCCAGTAGAAGTAGTCGAGGTGCGCGCGGTTGATGTCGTCGGAGAACCAGCTCTCTCCTCCTCTCCTCGTCGTCGCCCAGTCGATCGCCGACACGAGCGCGCTGCTGGCGTAGCTCCCGACGCCCTGCGCGCTCAGCGACATGGCGAGCCCGACGCTGCGGAGGTCGTCGGGCACCTGGTCGTAGAAGAACTCCTGGAGCCCGATGACGCCGAACACCTTCGATAGCCCGACGAGGGCGTACTGCGGCACCAGCCACCACACGCTCATCGGCACGGTGGCGTCCGCCGGCAGCCCGGCGTCGCTCGCGGCGCGGAGCCGTTTGGCCTCGACGAGCGCCGCCACGACCATGTGGAGGCAGCACGTGGCCATGCCGGCGCCGACGCGCTGGAGCGTGGTGATGCCCGCGGGGTGGCCCGTGAAGCGCCTCGCGAGCGGCACGAGGGCGCGGTCGTAGGCCGGCAGCACGGTGAGCATGGTGGCGCTGATGACGTCCTGCAGCGCGGCGGGCGGCAGGACGAAGACGCCCCCGCCCACGGCGACGCGGCGGTCCATCGTGCTGCCCTGCTTGGTGAACAGCGTTACCTGCTGCGAGATGACGGCGGCGAACACTATGCTGGTCACCCAGATCGGAAGCAGCTTGACGACGAAACCCTTGCCATGTTCTACCTCTTCTTCTTTCGCCAGCAGAAGCCTGCAAGATTAGCGTTAAATTTAAACCTACGCCATTAGAATTTAGCAAGAGTTTAGACAATGCACGAGTCAAGAACGCAGTCTGTACCGTTCCGTGCAAATGGCGTCCTTCCGGGGAAACACCCTCGCCGTCCACACGCGCGTGGCTGACAAGGACTTCTTGGCGAGCAGCGCGAGCAGCGCGCCGTCGATGGGTTGCTCGGCGCGGTACGCCGCCGTGCCGAGCAAGAAGACGGGGAGGTACACCGCCGTGGTGGCCAAGCACGCGGCGAACCCGACGGTCCAGCTGACGTTGTCCTCGACGTAGCTCATGGCGGTGTTGGAGATGGCGTAGCCGCAGGAACTGGAGAAGTTGTACCAGTTGAAGTAGGAGCTCCGGGACGCGCGCGCGCCAGGGTCGCTCGGCGGCGTGAACTGGTCGGCGCCGAAGGCTTCCGAGCACGGGTTGTGGAAGCCCTGCGCCAGCGCAAGCAGGTAGAGCGCGGCGTGGAAGAAGACGAGGCGGCCGAGAGATGGCGATGGCGGTGGCGGCGGCGAGCAGGCGGCGGCGGCGTCATGGCAGCTCACCGGGTGTTGGTGCGTTGGTTGCATCACTGATGAGATCGTCAGCATGCCCAAGCTCTACTTTTTTTCATAAAAGAAATGGCTATAAAACGTACTCCCTCCATCCTAAAATAAATAAATAATCATCTACATAGTAGATTAGAATGTGATGTACAGCGAATTTGAATAAGCACTTATCCAAATTTATTAAACTAGATTATATCACATATCCATCTAGAATTGATTTATTAAAGTGAACAAGGAACCAAATCATACAGCCGCTAGCTCTGTTATCATTGCAGTCAGGTGACGTAGGCAACCACTTTTGACTATTTCACGAAAGCTTTGTGCAAATTTAGATTTGCAAATATCACCCGAATATACTGCATGATACTTCTGCCACCATTTTTTATGATTAAACCCGATCGATTTTTTTAATTACATTCATGTTGTCCCAAGTTTACAGCACAAGTTCTTCACTTCTTCCCCTTGCTAGCAGATTGAAATTAAAACGTTGCCCTCCCAATGAGTTCTTCCAATATGAATTCAATAAGATCAAGATTTACCATTGATCTTTAGTTTTTCAAACGTGCGTTAAAAGTGTGTGGTATACTTCTTCTGTGTAATAAAAAATACTTTAAAAGTTAGTATAAAACTAAAATTCGATCTTTGAATGACATAGAACCAAATTTATCATTTACTTTTGTTGTGTTAAGCTTGTGTTTTAAAAGGATAAAGTTCATTTTTTTACTAGATATATATTTGAAAGAGTGATTTGTACTTTGAAATATCTTTATTACCGAAGTTTTACTTTGGATCACCCTCCCTCGAATCTTTTCACGTTGGACCAGATATTCTTATTATTTTTCACTTTAGACTACCCAAACTCTTTTCGCGAGCATATCAACGGCCTCAAGCACATCGGCATCCTCATACCGATGATCTCCCCTATTTACATATACTCACATATTTGATGAATGAGAGATTGGATATGGCTAGATAAGAATGTTATGTTGGTACAAAATGAAAAATGGCAAAAATAGCTAATTGATGGACCATAGTAAAATTCAATAATAAAAGGTGGCATAAAGTATAAATCACACTATTTTTTAAAACTAAAACTCTTAAACAGGTACTCCCTGTCTCTAAATATAAAGGATTTTGGTTGGATGTGACACATAAAAAAATTATTGTTAGACACCTTGTTGGGCTGCACCACAGCTGATCCGCTACGCAAATCCTGGCCCAAGCAAACCCAGGAAGAGAAATACATAAAGCAATAGCTGCTGCTCATTCAAAGACGAACAGAAAAGACAGGACGGCGACCAGCCTAGGCGGCTTGGCGATCGGCGGTGGCGGCGGCGGCTTGGGTCCGGGCTGGATCCTCGTCGAGTACCTATTCCCTCCTCCACCCCCCATTCCCTAGCTTCCAGAACCTTCTAGCCCCCTGTATTTCCCCATCTTCCACCTCCAAAACAACATTGTTGACTGAATAGTTGTTCGTGGTAAAATTCTTGTTGTTTGGTGATTTGGTTGCTAACAATTTGGTATCAGAGCCAGCCTGGTTTCCCCCATCTAGCTCTTGGTCTAGTTGAGAAAGTTCTCATCAAGTAGGGTGCCATGGCAATAGAAGACAAATTGGACTTGCTATTGAGGCGGATAGAGGAGTATGAGCTGAGGCGAGAGGAGGCTGATCGGAGAGCTAGAGCTGATATACGGTCTCTCATAGATGTGGTTGAAGCATGCACACCGGAAGTTGGGAAGAAGGCAAAAGACTTGTTGGCGTCAATTAAGAAAGAGCAGTCAAAGGTGACGCCCACCACCTGTCGGCGTCAATTAAGAAAGAGCAGTCACTTACTTCTTGCAAGAGTGATGGTTGTGGAGCTGAGCAGTACTGAGCAATTTGGTTCTGAGAACATTTCCTTCAAAGGAAAACATGTTGACAAGCTGAGACTATTTGGCATGCCACCTTGGCTGCCATTAGTTTGTTTTCTGGAAGCTAGAGAAGGGAAATGTTGCACTACTGATTCTGCTGCAAGTATAATTTCTTGGAATGAGCAAAAGAAAATGATGACTACTGAAACTTGCACTTGCTTTGAGCAGAAAATGCAGAAGTTTTGGGATCTGACTTTCCAGGTTAGTTTGACAACACTTGCTAGCAAGGAAAGCAATCTAGTTATTTGTGATCCTAAATCATTATCTGTTTGGTTATCATCTGTTGATCTCCGGGGGATGTTGCTCAACTACTACCAAACTAGAGTGGAGAAATGGAATATGAGAATAATTTGTATGGTGATATCAGAATCTGAGTCATGTTTGGAATCAAATTACATTGGTTTGAATGCTGAAAGAGATCTGCTATATGTGATTGCTGATGAAAAAGGCTGCAAAAGGGTGAAAGAAATGGAAGAAGATGCTAATTCAATTCATGATGAGAAATATACTTTTGAGTTAGTTTCTGCAGAGGTGGTAAATACATTAGGATCTACTGGGCAATGCATATGCTTGACTGATGAAATCGGCATGCCAATAAATGGACATAATCATGAACATAGGTGGACTATGCAGTTGATCAAACGAGGTTGTCATTGTTTGTAGCATATCAAATTGTTGGGAATCATTGTTGGCAAGCAATTCATAACAGTGCCATTGTCAGGCATCACACATGAGGACTTCGCATGGAGTAAGAAGTTATCGAGGCTAAAGCTACTTGCTCTATTCTTCTTCAATAATGTTCTATTGTCTAACACCAAATATTTGGAGCAACCATGGGATCCGGGAGGTTTTAATTCATCGGCATGGAGACAAGCCGAATTCAAGGAGAGGGGATTGTTAGACACCTTGTTGGGCTGCACCACAGCTGGTCCGCTACGCAAATCCCGGCCCAAGCAAACCCAGGAAGAGCAATACATAACGCAATAGCTACTGCTCACTCAAAGACGAACAGAAAAGACAGGACGGCGACCAACCTAGGCGGCTTGGGTCCGGGCTGGATCCTTGTCGAGTACCTATTCCCTCCTCCACCTCCCATTCCCTAGCTTCCAGAACCTTCTAGCCCCATGTATTTCCCCATCTTCCACCTCCAAAACAGCATTGTTGACTGAATAGTTGTTCGTGGTAAAATTCTTATTGTTTGGTGATTTGGTTGCTAACAATTATCTAGATTCATTGTACTGGGATGCATCACATCTAACCAAAATATCTTATATTTAGGGACGGAGAGAGTAGTTCTTTCAGAAAAATGTTTTTCATAAAGTTTCCTTAAAAAAAATTATAATTCGTATCAACTTTCTAATATTTAATTTAATCCATCTGCTTCTATCAACAACATTAAAATGCATATTTTATCTTGATTGTCATTAACATGTCTTTCAAACCGCTAAACAATACATTTCATTCGATTTTTTTAAATATCATATAATATTTTTAGGTTTAAAATAATTAAAACTCAATTTATAATGCGATAAAAATGTCTTGTTTCTTATGTCCTAAATTTATCTTTATCTTCAATACAAACGACTACCATCTAATTGTGATAAAGTTAGTGCCATCCCTCGCTATCAAGAACATACCCAAGAAAAGTGAAACAATCCATTCACAAAAACAGTGTTGCCGGGCCGGGGAATATCAAATTGAGAACGCGAACTTGATCACGACATGGATAGATGCTCGAGATGTTGGTAATTAACTAACTTACAGGTGGGGATCGGAAGCAAAGAACTGACCAGCAGATGGAGCACGCCGGCGGCCACGATTGCCCGGTACCGCCCGAGCCGCGAGTCGGCGGCGAGCGCGCCGACGAGCGTCAGCACCAGCACCGTCCCGCCCCAGGCGTTGGCGCCGGCGGCCGCCGCCGCCGTCGACATGCCCATCGGCCCGCTCAGGTACATCACCAGGTTGCCCTGCACGCCGTTGAACCCGATGCGCTCCAGGAACCCGACGGCTGCATCCATCCATCCGAGAAACGCTCAGGCGAGGCAAAGAATCGATCGACCTGCGTGCGTGCGGTGACGCGCGCGAGTACGGCGAGAGGTCAGCGACGGCGTTACCGATGAGGAAGCGCGCGGCGCGCCAGCCGCCGCGGCCGTCCGGTGAACCGGAGCCGGCGCATGTCTCGGATGGTGGGAGTATCCCGCCGGACTCCATGTCCAGCACAGTGAGAGACTGCAGAGTGGCACCCCGGCCGCTATGATGCAGAGTTGCAGACAGATGCTTGGATACTTTTAGCCGCCTCTTCTTCTTTTTTTTGGAAGAACTCTCGATACTTTTTTATAGCTGACGTGGGCAGATATCAAGATATTTTTCTGTGTCGTAATGGGCTGATGGCCTTGCCTGATTGTGGCTAGATGTCTAGATCAATATACTCAATAGTAATTCGGAGTAATAGAGAGTAGAGAGTGATGGCGTATAAAGATAGATGCCTCCTTCAAACGGATGAACTGAATAAATGTATAAAATCTCTACTTGAAACTTATGTGAAAAAAATAGTCTAATGTAAAATTTAATCAAAGAAGAAACAGTGTTCTTTAAACTTTTTATTAGGCATAAATTGACCCAATTAAACGGTAGACCCAAAAATGCAAGCCCACCCAGCGCAAAGCTCGCGAGCAATTTTTTAATACGTAAAAGACTTACATATCTTTGCAATAAGACGAGTAAAGTTGCCAATTACAACTGAACAGAAAAAAAAAAAGAGGAAGTAGGGGAAGGGACTGAGTGCACTCTATCTAATCAGATGGGCTGACCTAGGACTATAGTGGCTACATAAGTAGCTAGCTGCCGAACCACAACCTTTGTCAAAGGCTAAAGAGATGCTTCCTTTGTCATCGTCTTCGCAATATCGATCCTGTTCCATTGTCGTTGGTTGAAAACTCAGTCATTGTGTTCTTTCTAGAGATAGAGCAGGCTTCAAAAGTTACGATAGTATCGAACCCTCTTCTCTATTCTTTAGGTATCTTCTTCCGGCTGTCACATAATCCAGCTAAGCGTGAAAGGATGATTCGCTCACCGGTAGGCAGTTCGTGCGCCCAAACTCACACGAGCTAAAGCTCAAGCTCGCTCTAGGGCACGTGTCGTGTCCAGCGATACAGGGATTAGCGGCGCTGAAAATGAAAACAAGCATCATTAGTGGGATACGACTACAAATTGAACGCCCGGTTTTCCAAAAAAAAAATTTGGTGTTGTTTCACCTTTTTATACGAAAATATTTCACAACATTTTAAATGATGAAACATAACCAAATCACACTTGAAACATTCCACTACAACATATGGTACATTAATTTTGAATTTTTTTTAGGTTTGAATTATTGAAACATAAACAAAACCGTGTGCATCAAAGATGAAAATATGGCATACTATCAACATTTGATCCAAACACAAAGAAACATCATAAGTACACTAGCTAAAACATAAAAAAAAATGAAATAAAATATATCCGGTTTGGACTGTATCTTCTTCCCTCCGACGAACACAGGATTGCCAAGGGTTGTCGGCTCAGTGCTCTCCTCCGTTCTTCGCTGGAGATCCACGCCGAGAAGGTACAACGCCCTTCTGCTCCTCTGAGGCGAGCAGCCGTCGTTTCCCTAGGCCCTCACCACCCTGTCATCGTTTGCTATTGGGAGCTCGCTATGCCATCGTCATCACTTGGGCAAAACGGAAACCGCGCCATCTCCAGATCCATACACGGGATGCCATAAATTTTGACAATTTAACCCTTTGTAAAAACTTATTACAAGAATAAATCGTGTTAAAAACTTATTTTAAAAATGAACCGCGACCTCAGTGCCATCGGAAGTGGCGCTGAGATCCAACATCTCAGCGCCACTAATTTTAGCGCTAACCTCCGTCCGAGGTGTCATAAATTAGCCACATCATCATGGGTCAGCGCCACTCTCATTGGCGCTGACCTTTTCAAAGCCTAAAAGGCTCTATTGGTGATGCCTACCTGAAATATACTACTAGTGCAGTGGTTAGCTCTATTGGTTTTTAGCACTAGGTCTTGGGTTCGAAGCCTTAAGCTAGCAAATTTTTTAGGCATATAACGGTTGAAAATCACAGGCGCGGATTCAAACCCATGACCTCCCATGACCTTTGCTTTAGAGGGCCTTGATAATGTGGCTAACTTATGACAACTCGGAGGTTAGCGCTAAAATTGGTGGCGCAGCGCCATCGGAATTGGCGCTGAGGTCACGGTTCATTTTTAAAATAAGTTTTTAACACGGTTTATTTTTTAATAAGTTTCTGTTCAGGCTGTTCACGGGTTGGGCACAACCCGGTCAAACCATCAAACCGAACCAGACCGAACCGCACGGCCGGTTCTGCACGGGTTGGGCTGCTTTAACCTACAACCCGTTGAAACCGCCGTCGTCCCCGCCGGCTCCGCATCCCTCTCGCCGCCGCTTTAGTCTCGTCATCCTCCTCGCCCCGGCCGTGCTCATCGACCAACGAGGAAAGCGTCGCGCGTCGTCCCCGCCGGCTCCGCATCCCTCTCACCGCCGCTTTCGTCTCGTCATCCTCCTCGCCCCGGCCGTGCTCATCGACCAACGAGGAAAGCGCCGCACGAAGCCAGGTCAGCCTGTTCGTTCATCTACAGAAGTGCTTGCGCATCATCTGCAGGAATTTTTATCTGCTTGCAAAGGACAGCTGCCATGGCTGTCGTCCTGCTCTCTGTTCGTTCTCATACGAAGAAGACGACAAACGGTTTAACCCGTTCAAACCGCTAGACCAAACCGTCTAATACCAGCCAGCTCCGGGTTGGGCTGGGTTATGGCGGAAACCCGTCTTAACCGTAGATGAACAGGCTGAGTTTCTGTAAAGGGTCAAATTATCAAAATTTGTGCACGGGTTGCTGTCTTCCTCCCATCTCATGGCCTCGAGCTACGCCGATGTGCTAGCAAGCCACCGCAGCTGCATGAACCCTCGCCGGTCACAACAAACCATGGCCCGACCACCGCCACGGAGGAATGTGGAATGGTTGACTGATAAGACGCCCGATATTTTGTTAGGTACAGAGCGCCCGAGCATAATTGTTTCCGTCATTAATTAATGTTATTAAAAAAGAAAGTGCACCAAAAATCGTGTGCGACTGTGTGCACGCGTTCGGGCGATGGGATTTCTACCCACCGTTGTAAATACCGAAGAAGGTGGTAACTTACAATCAAACTTTGCCGATTGATTTTTCCACAAAATCATGATTATATCAAAAATAAATTGAAACCTAAACCTAATGATACTGTTTTTTGTCACAGAATTACTCCCACTAGCAAAAAAAAAATGATGTCCACTTTTTCAACGTCAAAGCAATTTGACTAGAGAGTAGTACTCCTAAGAGCAGGTTTAATACATCCTAATCAGCCGGCGCTAGCACGTTACCCGTCAGCAAAATCCGACGTGGAGGAGTGAGAAGGGAAGAAAAAGGATGGAGCGGGCGCTCCATCTATCGCCCGGCTGAAGCACAACACACGAGGAAATATTGCTTTCTTCCAATCAGATGCGAGGAGATCAGGTGCACATGCTAATATTAAATATCTAAATCTTCAATAGAGTTAAACAAACAGCCAACCTAACAGTCAGCCTATTATATTAGTGATGGGCCTGATGGCTATAGGTGACATGGTATTAGTATAGAGCCAGTAGCTGGCTATGTTATTAGGCTTGCTCTAAGGCTCTGTTCGTTGCTGCCTGTTCCCAACTCCTCCGCCTCGTTTTCCATGCGCACGCTTTTCAAACTGCTAAATGGTGTTTTTTTTGCAAAAAAAATCTATACGAAAGTTGTTTAAAAAAATCATATTGATCCATTTCTGAAAAAAATTAGCTAATACTTAATTAATCACGCAATAATAGGACCTTCGTTTTACGTGCCGGGGAGGAGGGGTTCCCAACCCAACCCCTCCTCCCGAACACAGCCTAAGAGAGCCTGCTTGGAGAATTTGTATTTATTTTTCCTCTTGTAAAACCTTTATACACCTATAAGTTAAGTGTACCAAAAATACAACCTACTTTCCTATACATATTCGTAAGGAGAGATCACGCATGCCTCTAGGCCTTTTTAATCTTCTGGGTGTATTAGGGCATGTACAACCGTCTTTATTAGTGGTCTCTCTCTATTGCCATGCAAGTAAATTTGATGACATAGAAGAAAGAGAAAGGAGTATGGTTGTTATGCATGACAACAGCTCAGAGTCGACTCGTAGTATTTATTAGAGCAAATTTTGTTGCATGGTGGTGAAAGAAAGAAAAGAAGAGTAAGAAAAAATATTTTTATACATTAATTATTAGAAACCATATTGTCTCTAATTGTTGTAGAATGCTAATCTCTAAATAACGTAGAGCTAATATCTGACTCTAACTTTTTATATGCACTTACACCAAACAACAGGAATTTCAGCCTTTTTCGTCTGATGGATACAATCCAAGCATGCCCCAGCCACCAAGTACTTGTACTCCATCTTGCTGCTAGAGAGGTACCATAATCTTTATGTTGCATTCTCTCACTATAAATACTATAGTCCCTCTCGTTCCATAATTCTTAACATTTAGATAATGACACGGTGTTCAAAATACATGTTTAACTTGATTTTTCTATTATAATATATACATAAATAAATAAATATTGTTTACTTTTCTCATAGTACTTTGAAAGATAATTCTATATACATTGTTATAGTTTCTTTAAACTAAATACTTTAAAGTTATTGATAATTAAAGTTATAAAAGTTTAACCTTAACCTTATGTAAAATGTAAGAATTATGAAACGGGAAAGAGTACACATCTTTGAGCATGTGGACCATTTTTCAGACTTATTACACACTCTAATCCGAACTCGGAAGAATCATGGCTCGCCTTTGTTCTTGTAGACGTATCGCTTCGCGATGTAGACGAACACGGCGACCTCCAAAGCGGCGAGCGCGGCGAGGATCCAGTAGAAGTAGTCGAGGTGCGCGCGGTTGAGGTTGTCGGAGAACCAGCTCTCTCCCCCGCTCCTCGTCGCGCAGTCGATCGCCGACACGAGCACGCCGCTAGCGTAGCTCCCGACGCCGCGCACGCTCAGGGACATGGCGAGCCCGACGCTGCGCAGGTCGTCGGGCACCTGGTCGTAGAAGAACTCGTCGAGCCCGATGATGCCGAACACCTTCGATAGGCCGACGAGGGCGTACTGCGGCACCAGCCACCACACGCCCATCGGCACCGTCGCGTCCGGCCGGTCGATCAGGCCGGCGTCGCTCGCGGCGCGGAGCCGTTTGGCCTCGACGAGCGCCGCCACGGCCATGGCGAGGCAGGACATGGCCATGCCGACGCCGACGCGCTGGAGCGTGGTGATGCCCGCGGGGTGCCCCGTGAAGCGCCTCGCGAGCGGCACGAGGGCGCGGTCGTAGACCGGCACGAAGGTGAGGAAGATGACGCTGACAATGGACTGCAGAGCAGCGGGCGGCACGACGAGGCCCCCGCGCGCGCCGATGCGCCGGTCCATTGTGCTGCCCTGCTTGATGAACAGGGTGACCTCTTGCGCGCTGACGATGGCGAACACTATGCTGGTCACCCAGATCGGAAGCAACTTGGCAAGGAACCCCTTCTCGCCTACCTCTTCCCTCGCCAGAAGCCTGCACGATTAGTGTAAAACATTCGCCATTAGGAAGGTTATCAGATCAACTCATCAAGAACGCACGTTTTGCTTTCGCTGGCGCGGCGAGCTCACCGTTCTGTGCAAGAGGTATCCTTCCGGCGAAACACCCTCGCCGTCCACGCACGCGCCGCCGAGGAGGACGTCTTGGCGAGGCGCGCGAGCAGGGCGCCGTCGACGGGTTGCTCGGCGCGGTACGCCCGCGTGCCGAGCAAGAAGATGGGGAGGTACACCGCCGTCGTGGCCAAGCACACGGCGAACCCGACGGTGCAGCTGACGCTGTCCTCGACGTAGCTGAGCGCGGTGTTGGAGATGCCATAGCCGAAGGAATTGAAGAACTGGTACCAGTTGAAGTAGGAGCTCCGGGACGCGCGCGCGCCGGGGTCGCTCGCCGCGAACTGGTCGGCGCCGAAGGCTTCGGAGCACGGGTTGTGGAAGCCCTGCGCCAGCGCTAGCAGGTAGAGCGCGGCGTGGAAGAAGACGAGGCGGGCGAGAGATGGCGGCGGCGGCGGCGACGGCGAGCAGGCGGCGGCTGCGTCATGGCAGCTCGCCGGGTGAGGATGATTTGGTTGCATCACTGATGAGATCGTCAGCATTCCCAAACTCTGTAAAATTGCGACTCTTTGTTGGAACATCGATGAACTCGATCATCCGATGACAGAGTTGTTCGACAGGTACAGATCGAGAGAAGCGGAAGATCGAACTGACCAGGAGATGGAGCACGCCGGCGGCCACGATGGCGCGGTACCGCCCGAGGCGCGAGTCGGCGGCGAGCGCGCCGACGAGCGTCAGCACCAGCACGGTCCCGCCCCAGGCGTTGGCGCCGGCGGCCGCCGCCGCCGTCGACATGCCCATCGGCCCGGTCAGGTACATCACCAGATTGCCCTGCACGCCGTTGAACCCGATGCGCTCCAGGAACCCGACGGCTGCGGCATCCATGAATCCGAGAAACGCTCAGGCGAGGCAAAGAATCGATCGACCTGCGCGCGGCGCAGGGACGCGCGCGAGTACAGCGAGAGGTCAGCGACGACGTTACCGATGAGGAAGCGCGCGGCGCGCCAGCCGCCGCCGCCGCCGCCACGACCGTCGGACGAACATGTCTCGGATGGCGCGATTAGCCCACCGGACTCCATGGCTGCCACAGTGCGGTACCCCGCTCTGATGCAGACAGATGCTTCTATACTTGACTTTTTTTTGGGGGGGGGGGGGGGGGGGTGGGGGACCGGGGGAAGAACTAGATACTTTAATATCGAATTTGCTAGGCATCTGGCGACAGATTTCTCGGTCAAAATTTGTCAGATTTTCATCCGTTGGATTACGTATAGATCTGTACTGAGGCTGTGATGTAGGGTCAGATCGGGTGTTCGGCACCCGTCCCCTGAGGTAGGAGTTTTATTTTACTCTAAGCCTGACATGATGTAGTATCTTTTTCACTAGGTTTATCGGCTCAATGCAACAAAAAATAGCAACAATGCCCCCACAATGTGTAATTATAGTGTGCAAATACTAAACTTACATGTGTAATTACTAAACTTACAGTCCTATATAACTAAAATTACATTTGTAAATTCTGTTGATATGACATGTAAGTGTACTTACATAGTTATACTGTAATTACACTATAGTTATAGTGTTACTACACGTAATTACACTATAATTACAGTGCAACTACACGTAATTACACTATAGTTACAGTGTAACTATAGTGTAGTTACACTGTAACTATAGTAAAATTACACTGTAACTTTTAGTAGATGGGTTGGTGATAATTTTTTTGCAATGTAAAGATTAAAAAATAAAATACATGCAATATATATAATTAATATATGCTGATACATGTATAGACTCTTCTAATCTAGTAATCAAATGAGCCTAATCCAACTATCTAAAATCTGTGTGATTTGGACCCAAAAATCTGTCGCGTGATGGATAGCTAGTCCCATCGAATTTGCTAGGCATCTGGCGACAGATTTCTCGGTCAAAATTTGTCAGTTTTTCATCCGTTGGATTACGTATAGATCTGTACTGAGGCTCTGTCGTGTGATGGATAGCTAGTCCCCTTTAATATAGCTGATGTGAGCAAATATGAAGATATTTTTGTGCCGTGATGGTTGACGAGCTACATATCTAGATTAGCAGTAATAGTGTTAATACCCATTCAGAATGATAAGAGAATATATCCATATAGGGTGATGGCATAAAGATCGAGTCAGGTTTCCTTTGAACGAATACTCGATTTAGTCTCTTAAGTTTACCTAAAGCTTAATTTAGTTCTTAGGATTCATTTTGTCCGTATTTGTCCTTTAAGTATTCGTTTTAACTTAAAATCATCCTCGGATCTACTTATGCTAATCTTGGTATAAGAAAATATCCACTTCACCATTAATTTGCAATACACTAGAAAAGAGGGAAAAAATAAATATCATTGTACATGTACTTCCTATTATTTTAGCGCGTACTCCCTCCGTAAAAAAAAAACAAACCCTGGTTTCCGTGTCCAACGTTTGACCGTCCGTCTTATTTGAAAAAATTATGAAAAAAAATTAAAAAGACAAGTCACGAATAAAATATTAATCATGTTTTATCATCTAACAACAATGAAAATACGAATTATAAAAAAATTACATATAAGACGGACAGTCAAAATTGGACACGGAAACCCAGGGTTTGTATTTTTTTGGGACGGAGGGAGTAACACGCAAGGGATGAGCTTTAATGGCTATAGAATATATAATTGTTTTTTATGTATATAAATTATGTATGACCTATAAGAAAATTCATTATGTCAGGGTTATGGATAAGTCATACCCTTTATCCTATGACTTATGGAAAATACCGATGAGATATACCTTCACGTGTACGGTTGGTTTCCATATACGTTGTTAGGAATTCGCCTCAAATTATGGAAAATATCTTCACAAGTTAAGGAATTGCCGAAGTCCTACTCGGAAAGGGTATGATCTCTAGTATATCGTGTCGGTTTACATAATTTTCAAGTCTTACTTGGGGTCAAGTTATCCCACGGTATAAAAGGGGCCCGTAGGGAGAAGGTAAGGGTATCGCATCTCATCGCCAACACACCCACCAAAGTTTACGAAGCCGGAGTGCACGGAGCCAACTCGTCGGGAGATCTCGTCGAATCCCTCGACTACGATCTCATCGGTAGCGTCAATTCGTTTACTCTCTTTGTAATCTGTTCTCATCATCATCAATCCCATATAAACTGGGCTAGGACTATTACCTGATAAGGGGTCTGAACCAGTATAATCCTTGTCTTTTGTCTGCTTTGATGTCGTACTACGTAAATCCTTTTTCTAACGTACCCCAATACCCTATTCTTCCGGTCCGCGAGTATCACTCGTCGACACATTGTACTTAAATCTCAAGAAACAACATCATATAATTATTGGATGTACGTCCTATAAAAAGTTAGGCATATAGAGGGTTTCACAACTTAATTGTACAGCATTTCTTTTTTGGTATGTGGGTTATTTATCGAGAGAGAAGTTTAACCATGTTGCCTGTTAAATCGGCCCAAGGGCAACTTTAAACTAAAATAAGAACTTGAAAAGACTAAAATAGACGAATTAAAACATTAAGGACCGAAATGAGCATTAGTCGAGACTTAGAGGGCCAAAATTTAAGTTTTTTCCGCTTATGCAGCAAACTTTTCAGTTTATTTATATAACTCGCAAGAATCAGGGCTCTCCTTTGTTCTTGTAGATATATCGCTTTGCAATGTAGACAAACACGACGACCTCCAAAGCGGCGAATGCGGCAAGGATCCAGTAGAAGTAGTCGAGGTGAGCACGGTTGAGGTCGTCGGAGAACCAGCTCTCTCCTCCGCTCCTCGTCGCCGTGTCGATCACCGACACGAGCACGCCGCTGACGTAGTTCCCGACGCCGAGCACGCTCAGGGACATGGCGAGCCCGACGCTGCGCAGGCCGTCGGGCGCCTGGTCGTAGAAGAACTCGTCGAGCCCGATGTCTCCGAACACCTTCGCGAGGCCGACGAGGAGGTACTGCGGCACCAGCCACCAGACGCCCATCGGCACCGTCGCGCCCGGCCGGTCGACCAGGCTGGCGTCGCTCGCGGCGCGGAGCCGCCTGGCCTCGACGAGCGCCGCCACGACCATGGCGAGGCAGGATGTGGCCATGCCGGCGCCGACGCGCTGGAGCGTGGTGACGCCCGCGGGGTGGCCCGTGAAGCGCCTCGCGAGTGGCACGACGGCGCGGTCGTACACCGGCACCAGCGTGATCATCGTGAAGCTGACGACGCAATTCAGCGCCGCGGCCGGCACGACGATGCCCCCGACGCGCCTGTCCATCGTGCTGCCCTGCTTTGTGAACAGCGTGCTCTGCTGCGACACGACGGCGGCGAACACTATGCTGGTCAGCCAGATCGGAAGCAGCTTGACGAATAATCCCTTGCCATGTTCTACCTCTTCTTTCGCCAGAAGCCTGCACGATCAATGTCAGACCTTACCAAGATCGTCGAATCGAGGACACAATTTTGCTCACCG